CACACTACCAACAGCTATAGTAGTGAACAAGGTTCTTGAAGGTTCTCTAATCTGCTCCCAGGGCCTTTATAAAAGAAATCATTCTCCTACCTCCTTTCCCCAAAGGCTGGAAAAAAGAATTCAAGAACTGTACTGGATTATTACACAGTAATCCATTATGAGTGTCTTTGCTTTAAAAATTTCATTAAGATTAATTCTTATGAAAAAAGCAAACTTTATAATGGTAGGCCAGCCTTGATGCTTTCAAGTTACCATCAGATTATCTTTGCATTAGAGAAACGTTGCTGCAGTCACAAACTCATCTATTTTCTTATGCTCAGGATTTAAAACGCAGTTTAGCAACTCGGAAAAGAAACAGAAATTAGGTCATCTAATTGTACTAAGGCTTTTTGAAGATCCAAGGTAAACAGCGCTCTACCTCCCTACCCCAACTGGCAGAGGGAGCTAGGAGAAAGGGTTAAAAGGAGAAAAGACTTGAAACGAGGACAAGGCAAGAGTTAAGCAAAGGAAGACCACAATGAATTCTGAGATTATCTCGTCCAACCCCTTCCTTCTAAGAGAAAACTAAGGCCCAAAGAGCGAACTACCTTAAGTCACACAAGTATTAAGTAGCACAGCAATTGAATCCAAACCCTTACACTAAATCCAGAGGTTCTTTGGGTACGATGACCAGGCCAGAGGGTGGGGATAAAATGCGGAAAGAGCAGTCCCCCAGGGAAGCAGAGCGGGGTGCAGTCCTGGGGGGAGGGTGGGAAAAAAAAAAAGTAGAGCGCCCTTGTGTGAGGCCTGTCCCTCCCCTGGGTAGCCCGGCGCTAGGGTCTGACACAAAGGCCACTACGTTTTCTCATTTGCAAGTGGGGGAAAAGAGCCGGGCCTGAAGCCACGCGGGGAAGTTGAGAGGAGGAGATTCGGGAGGGGGGGAGTGTTGCAGAGGGGAGGGGCGGAGCCAGGGAGAGGAAAAGGGCGCCGGGGAGAGCGGGACTGTGCGGGGGGAGGGGGGCTCTCACGGGGACGTGGATCGGAGGCGCGCGAGGAGATGGGGGGGGTGCGGGGAACACACGTAGAGGGAAAATGGGGCCTCGTAGGAAGGGTGGATCAGACCGCGCGTCGAGGAGGAAGGATGGGCCCTCGTGGGGAAAAGGGTCATGGGCCTGTGGGGGGGAGGGATGAGGCTCCGCGGGGATCAAGACCGCGCATGTGAGGAAGGTGAAAAAGGATCGGGTCTGTGGGAGGAAGAATGGGGCCGCGTGTGTCGCGTTGAGGGGAGGGGGATGGGGCCGCTCGTGGGGGGAAGAGGAAAAGGAAATCAAGTCGAGGCGTGGGGGGCGGATACAAGAGAGGACTAGGCCGCGCGGACTGAGGAGGATGCCGGGGCCCCCGTGGGCAGCTGGAGGCTGCGCAGGGAGCCGGACCGGGGCTGTGGCCTCGCGGGGTAGGAGAAGGGTGGGGCGGCACCGTGAACAGAGGCCTGGCGTGGAGAGGGGAGGGAGCCCAGCTAACGGAGCCGGGGCTGCGGGGAACGCCGGGAGGCACAGGCCCAGTTAATGCCAGGCGCCTCCCCACGGAGCCCCAGGCCCGAGAAGGACGAAGAAGCCTCACCTTTTGGTGGTCGGAGTCCCGTTCCCGCTTACTGTTCCAGGCGCACCGCTCTCCTCCTCCATTTTGGATTCAGTCGCCGCCACCTCCACAGCCGCTTCCACCCCTGCCGCCATTTTCTCCGCTTCTGGGCTTTGTGTGAGAGAGCAGGCAGGAAGGTACTGCGCCTGCGCATTCACGTGACACCGAAGAGGTCCAATAACGCTTGAGCGAGGCCCCACCTTCTACCCATACTTATGTCCCTCGTTTCGCCCCGCCCCACTTCTGCGCAGGCGTAGAGCCGAGGGTGAGTCGCATCTATGCTAGCTTTCCAGTTTTCAGTTCTGTTCATAGGATCATACGTTTAAAGCCACTTAAGGTCACTTGACCTTAAAGATTATCTGGTCCAAAACTCTCACCTTACAGAAGAGGACTCTATGGCTCTGAGAGTTTAAGTAATTTGCCTCAAGTCATACAGGTAGCAAATAGCTATCTGGGATTTGAACCCAAGCCTTCTCATTCCCAAGTGCTGTGACCATTCCACACCACCTGTCTGAAGTAGTTAAGGTTTTTTTGAGAGGCTCTATGCTGTAGGAAAATCACTTGGGCAGCTAAATGGAGGATGGACTGGATTGAAGCAGGGAGACTAACCTCTTGAAAGAGAAGGTGATGAGGGCCCACACCAGAGTGGCCGTGTAATTGGAGAGAAGGAGGAAAATGAGACATACTGTGAGGGTAAAAATAAGACATGGCAACAAATTGGATATGTGGGGCAAGTTGGGGGGAGGCAGGAATGACAATGAAGTTGGAGCACAGGAGAGAGGTTAGTGCTGATTAGGTACATCTGGGAATCATCTGCATAGAGATGATAATTGAACTCCTGGGAGCTGATGAGCTCACCAAATGAGGTACCATAAAAGAAGAGAAAAGGGCCCAGCACGAGGCCTTGGGGGATACCTATAGTTAGTGGGTATGACCTGGAGGAAGAATGAGCAAAGGAAATTAGAAGAAATATTCAAGTAGGGGAACTGGGAGAGAGTAGTGTCACCAGAAAAAAAGTCTAGAGGACAGAAAAACTGGAAAAGTGATTGACAGTCAAAAGTGAAAGTTCAAAAAGGATGAGGACTGAAAACTGGCCATTAGATTGGGCTGTTAAGATCACTAGTAACTTTGGAGGTTGTGGTGTCTGTCCAATGAAGATAGAAAGCCAGATTAAGAGGGTTTACAAGAAGGCAAGAAAGGAAATGGAGGCATTGATTGTACATGGTTTTCTCAAGGAATTTAACCACAAAAGAAAGAAGAAATATAGGATGTTAGCCAGCAGACTGGTCCCACCTCTCTGCCTATTCTCCAAAATGGGACCTGGAGCTCCAAACCGACTTCTATTGGACCAGAAAATGCTCAGATTCTTTATTTCAGAGCCCAATATCTTCCTTCTTCAGAAGAAATCAAGTCTAATTCCTCTAAGTTATGATGGGGATGTGAAGGTCTAATAGGAGATTAGCTGGGCACCTGGGCTAGGATTGAACAGCTAGACTTGTAGTTACAGAATGTCACAGGTGGAACACACCTTATAGACCATCTTTTTTAGAGGAGGAAATAGTCTCAGAGAGGAGAGAGAATTTGAACACAGGCCACATAGAAGTTACCTCAATGTTGACAAAATATTTGATAGTCTTTCTTGATGATTGTTTTGGAAAAGATGAAGGAGACAGACAGTCCAGGACGCACCCAGGTTTCTTGACACCTTATGACAGTGCTTTCTCCACCGCTTCATGCTTCCCTTTGGGCCAGCCATTCTTAGAACATGTTAGTTGACTCTACATTGAAGTATTCCTCAGGAAGATAATCCAGAGTTTCCTCATTTTTTCATGAGACTTCAAGGAACCTCATAAGCCATCTATTATTGGGGAAAAAATTTTCCTCTACAACATACCCAACCAGTAGTTACCAGACCTTTGCTTAAATATGTCAAGCGAAGGGGAATCCACAACCTGATACAAACTACACTTTTGGATAGATCTAATTTTTCAGTTTCTCCTTATATCAAGCCTAAGTTTGTCCCGTAAGTCTTCTTTAGGCTCCATGTGACTCACTTGGGGCAGCTAGGGGGTGCAGTGGATAAAGCACTGGGCCTGGAGTCAGGAAGATCTCAGTTCAAATCTGCCCTTAAGACACTCACTAGCTGTGTGACCCTGGGCAGGTCACTTAACCTCTGTTTGCCTTAATCCAGTGGAGAAAGAAATGGCAAACCATTCCTGTATTTTGGCCAAGAAAACCCCAAGTAGAGTTGGACACAACTGAACAACAAACACTATATTAATGTTATTAGTATCATTATTTCTTTTCAGCCTTGTATTTGAATAGGATTGAGACCTGTTAGCATTTTGTTTGCTTTCCTCTGGACACACTCCAGCTTGCAAATGTCTCTACTGACATACGGTGCCCAACACAGAAAACCGTACTACAGAGGCCGTCTGCCAGAGCCGATGAGAGAGAATAGCACTTCACCAGTTCTGGACACTGTGCCTCTCTCCATGAAGCCTGAGTTTAATTGCATTAGCTGTTTTGGCTTCCATGTCACCCTGCTAACTCATATTGAGCTTGCAATCCACTAAAACCTCCTGACCATTCTCTCCTGCCCCCACACCATTGTCTAGCTTGTAAAGTTAATTTTTTGAACCCAAATATAAGACTTGACATTTGTTATGATTAAGTATCAGATTCAGCCCAATATGCTTCCCTATCAAAGTCTGTTTGGATCTTAGGTTTATCAACCATGTTTGCTATCCCTCTCAGCTTTGTATCATCTATCAATCTGATGAGCACTGTAGTCTATGCCTTTACACAAATCACTGATAAAGATATTAACAACACTAGGGTAAAACCACCGAGCCTTAGGACTCTCTGCTAGAAACCTTCCCAGTTGATACTAAACCATTCATAATGACTCTCTGGATTCTGCAATGCAACCAGTTGAGTCTACCTAACTATACTACCATCTTCTAGCCCATATCTCATCTTTTCTATAAGAATACCAAGAGACAATAAAGGCTTTGCTAAAATCTATGAATATGAATATAAATATAAAATTCTCCTGATCTATGAAAATAGTAATATTATATAAAAAATAAAAGGAAATGAGCTTAATCTTTATGAAAGGCTTTTGATGGAACGATAGAGCCCATTGTGATTACCACTCCTTTCTCCTCCCTCCTGTGCCTCTCTTTACACCATACATCATGGAACTAACTACATTTCAAGGTATTTGTAATGTATTGAATCAAGTTTTATATACTTTATTTAGCACTAAATTCCCAACCTTCTCCCCTGAAAAAGGATTAGCTATACTCAATAGAAAAATCTTGGTTTAAGCACTTGGGTTTAAGGCACCTACAGAAACAATCATTAATAAGTCCATTATGTTCGTTAAGAGCTCATTTTATTCCTTCTGGGGTGATCTTTAAAACACAGAAACTTTTATAAAGTATGACACCATAAAAGAAAGTGCAGATATGAAGATAGCCTCCCAAGATCTTAGCAAACTCCTCCTAGGGCAAGGGCAATGTGAAACATGAATTGTCTTTGAGTGACTCTAGAACAGGGCATGTAATTAACCTCAGATGAGATCAAGCTGCCAGCTTCAGTACTGAAGCTTAAGACCAAGTCTGTCAACATAATATACAGAAATTTTATGCAAGGAAATTGAAAAATATGTACATATACAGAATATACTCCACTTAGTGTATATATTGTAACAAAGTCAACCCAGATTTGGGTGAAGGAGCTAGTTGTGTCCTTCCTTAAAAAGCTGAGCCTTCCAAACCATTTCTCAAGATCCTGGGCCAGGCGACAGTGTGATCAGCTTTCCTTCTTCCTCTGGAGTCCCAAAATGCCAGCTGATTTCTTTAGGCTGGACTCCTCTCTGGATTACGGTCTCTTTGGAGCCTCTCTCCCAAGAGCTACCAGCTCCAGGGCACTCACACAGTAGTTTCTTCTGCTGTTTTCTTGAGGAGCATGGCTGACAGCAATGAATGTTGGGCCGTCTTGCAGTTTTCAGAGTCCAGAATCATTAATCGGACTTTTTGATTAGTCCTTCTCCATTCTGAATACAGCTGGCAATGGTAGCGGAATGAAACCTAGAGAACAAGAAAGAGAGCTCATGGTACAGGGTTCTTTACTTTCGGACCCAAAGAGGGAATCTTGATAAAGAATTACATAGCATCTCAATAGTGGAGAGGAAGCAACGGCCAACTATTCCAACCTGAACTTGAACAGGAATCCCTTCTTTAACTTCCCTAAGAAATCATCATATAATCTTTGCTCAAAGACCTCAAGTGAGAGGGAACCCATTACCTCCTAAAGAAGTACCTTCTACTTTTGAACTGCATTAGTTATGATGAAGTTTTTCCTTTCATTGAGACTAAATCTGTTCTTCTGCAACTTCCATCTGTTACTCCTAGTACCAGGGTATTAGTCCCTAATTCTTCTTCCACATGATAGTCCTTTAAATTCTTGAAGACAGCTATCATGTCTCTCTGTAATGCTTTTCTCTTCCATGCTAAAAATCCCTAAAGTTTCTCCCATTGATCCTTGTATGGCACAGTCTCTAGTCTCCTAACTATCCTGTTTTCTTTCCTGATTAAGCTGGATCTGTTCCAGCTTAATAGTAGTATCTTTTCCAAAAATGTGGTGACCAGGGCAAAGTACAGCATAATGATCACCTTCTTCTTCTGGACGTTATCCTTCTCTTAAGCTTAGGAAAAATAACCTTTGTTGCCTGCCATATCACACTGTTGACTAATACTGCGCTTGCAGTCCACCAAAACCCTCAATTCTTTTTTCAATGAACTTGTCTAGCCACCTGTCCCTCTTCATCCTATATTTGCACACTTAATTGTTTTGAAACCAAGTAAAGTGGTTTCACCAAGTGAAGGTGGTTTTACATTCAGCAAAGAGAAAAAAAGGAAAAAAAGCTAAATTAGGGAAAGACAGGCGTTAAACCAGTCTTGTTTTGTCAAGAGTGGAAATGCCAACTATTGGGTTGTAAGAATAGGGAGCCAAGATAAAGGGTCCTCAGCTACCTCTTAATTTTTCCAAAGTAAAGCTAAGGCTAGGTGTAGGGTCCTGCAGGCTTTCGCCATATAAGTAGAGTGAATACTTTTTAGGGGGAAATTCCAATCTACTAATAGCCACATGGTTACTATAGGGCTAGAAAACAAGGGTAGGGCCTTGGTAAATAAAATGGTATTAAAGTATTCCTAAAAGAGGATAAGTGCTAAGGGAATCTATCCTAGGAAAGACAAAGGTTTCCCTCCAAGTCCAAGCTCATACAGGAAGCTCTTTGTATGCTTATACAGAGAATCTTGAGGTTGAAGAGTCAGGTTACTTGCCTCATCACCCTAGTTGATAGTGTAAATAACCTGCCCCTCCAACTCCTCCTCTAATTATCTTACATTTACTTGTGTACGTGTATCCCCTAGAATATGAACTCCTGGGGAACAGGCACTACTTATCATTTTTGTTTGCCTTGTACATAGTAGGTGTTTAATAAATGTTTGATGAACTGAACTGAGTTAACCAATCCACTGAAATTGTTTGGGGGGTGGAGGGAGAGTGCAGTTCTTCTCACAAATGCTACTGAACAACTCACTTGAAAATGGGGGAGTTGGACTAGAAAAATCCCTGCCAGCTCTCACATTCTAGACTATGTGAACCTCTGTGGCAAGTGGCAACATAGGCATACCTGGGTTTAATTCTTGCCTCTGATACATACTAGCAGGGTGACCACGGGAAAGGCATGTAACTTTCCAGCATCCCCAAATGATATAAGTTCCTGACTTGCATCAGTGCAGGGAGTTTCCACATAAAAGGAGTTCCTTATACTGATGAAATCACAGTATTTGAGTCCAAAAAACCTCAACCTAGACAGAAAAGTATAACCTATACTGGGCAAATTCCATACTTTTAAACAGACCTTTACTCAAGATGAATATCAGTTTATAGCCTGGGAATATTTTGAAAAACTAGCTGGTTTCCTTCACCTTTCTGTGTCACTCCTGGAAAGCACAGCTACCACCCACCTGTATGAATTCCACTGTTCCTAACCCAAGGAGAAGGCAGATTAGGGTACTGGTGGGTGCAGATTAGACCCTAGCCCAGTGCATGACCAACAACAGGTTTAAGTTGCATGAAACCAGAGTTCACATCCAGCTCAGTTAGTGGATGTTTACAGTGCCTTTATGTAGACAAAGTATGCCTAGAGCACTGCAGTCTGGCCAATTTTGAAATATAGTTACAAAGTGGTAATAAACAATAACACCCTTTAGTTTTCCTAGGATACTAAGGCCTCAAAGCCCATTCCATGATTAGGATTGTCCCATTTCTACTGAGATAGGGTAGTAAAGAAAGAAAAGTGTCTTCAGGATGCCTTATCATAATCTTCTACATACCAAGAACATCCTGTAATCCAGAAGGAAGAGTTTTTAGTCCCATCTGAAATCAACTCTTTCTCCGTAAGCCAACATAGTCAAAGAAACTAATTTGGAAAGTGTTTACAAATCTTACTGATATGTCCTATCTCTTCATCCCTCCAACCAACATCAACCCTATCCAGGAATTTATAGGGAATTAATATTCCTGATCTACTTTCCTAGCAGAATTAAGAGTACTTGGCTCTTAATTCAGAGTATATGTGGTAGGATTGCCAAGCCTTAAAGAAAGATGCTAGCTGCTGAGAATAAGCAGACAGGCTGTCATCTGAGCACCAAATGTACTCTCTTCCTGCTTAGCCATTTGCAGTAATCCTGTTGGATCGACCTTTGATTGTCATAAGATTTCCTTTCTGTCTTGTAATGTTGTTTACAGGATACAAAGGCCCTAGAAGCAGTGAGATACTTGATATAATGGAAAGAGCATTGTCCTAGGGTAGTTAAGAGATCCTAAATGTTAGCTTTACTTCTGCCACTGGTTAGGTATGTGACCAGAGACACTCATAGTTTATCAGGAGAATGAGGAAGTCAAATGTCCCCTTTATTGAGGGAAGTGGAACGATTGCTGACTGAACATCAGAAGACCTAGGTTCTCCTAGAGTTACCATTATTTAAGTAGGTAGCACTGGGCAGATCACTTAACATCTTGACTTCAAGTTTTCTCAGTTATATAATGCAGAAATTGGACTAGACAATCAAAATCCCTTCTAGCTCCAACTTTATGAGTGACTTTAGCCAGGCAAAAAATCCCGCAGCCTGTCTTCATCACATTTTTTCAGGCAGCTAGGTAGGAGAACATAAAGAACACTAGTACAGGGACCAGAAGGTCGAGGTTCATAGTTTGCCCCTCTATCTGTATGACCTTGGGCAAGTCATTAATTTCCCTGTGCTTCAGTTTTCTCCTCTTTAAAATAAAGATGATCATATTTCACTATCTCCCTCCTATAAATTGTTAAGAGGCTCAGGTGAGATAAACATACCTAAAATGCTTTCAGTAAAAGGCCAGTTGATGACTCCATAAAAATCTCATCTGGAAAAACCTGAGATTATCATAGATTGAAGATTTAAAACTGAAAGGGCTTTAGAGACTATCTAATCCAAGCTCTTCATTGTACAAATGAACAGACTTAAGGCCCAGAAAAGTTAAGTGATTTGTGAAATGTCACACAGGAAATAAGTAGCAGAAAGGGATTTGAACTCAAGTCTTTTGGCTCCAAATTTAACCCTCCTTCCACTGCACCATGTTAAATGACTGTGGTTAAACTGTTAAAACTGTTAAAATACTAACAAAAAAATTAAAATTTCACTGCATATTAAATTTAATTACTCTTAGGACCAACCTACAGACCACCTAGGGATCCCTGAGGATCATAATTAGTAAACATCTGAACCATGAGGCTACCAAAGGTCTGTTTTAGTCATCACAACCTCAAAGTAAGAAGGTACTGTGTTCATATTTTTATTGATAAAAGTATGGGTCAGAAACTAGGTAAATTTCTGTTTGTCTATGGGAAATGCCCATATACTCACTATGCATAATAGAGGAAAGGAAACCTGGTATGGGAGAATGGATGCCTAGTTTTATTAGCCAGCCTCAAGTTGACTGTAAAGCCTAAAGAAGGAGATTGCCCGTTTAGGAGATTGTCAAGGGGCAGCTAGCTCTGCTGACTCACCAATGTCCAAAGGATGTAGATAGTAAAAAGTGCTAAAGTGAGAGCAATAAGTCCCACAGCCTCCAGCCTGCTGTTAAACTGTAGGTGATCCTGGGCCCCTCGAAGGCAAAGCCAGCCTGAGATGGCAGCAAGGGGTGTGATGAACAGGAAACACACCATGTCACAGAAAAGGGTCCTCTTCTCATTCCTGGGCCCAGGGTCCTTCAGCCACTAACAACAAAGGAAAAGTTATAAACCACTAAGAAAAGAAACATCACTTTCCCCTTGTGTTCCCCCAAATAATAAAATACCTAATTTATTTAGCATAAGTCTATTCTCAAATCTCATTAATAATTTAAAGCAGCTAGGGAGGTAGGGCCTACACTGACCACTTCTAGGAGTTAAAGGTTTAGAGCAGCAGTTCTTAAAATTGTAGGTCTTAGGACCCTTTTACAGTCTGAGGACCCCTTTACACTCTTAAAAACTGAGGTTCCTAAAGTGCTTTAATGTGGGTTATATCTATAAATAGTTACCATATTAGAAATTAAAACTGATAAAAAAATTTTAAAATATTTATTAATTTTATAAAACAACAAATCCATTATATGTTAGCATAAATAACATTTTTATGAAAAAATAATATTTTATAAAACAAAAAAATTATTGAGAAGAATGGCATTGTTTTACATGTTTTGCAAATCTCTTCAATATCTGGCTTAAGAGAAGGATAGCTGGATTCTCATATTTATTTCTGTATTCCATTTGTTGTGATATGTTGTTTTGGTTGAAATATATGAAGAAAATACCACCTCACAAAAATATGTACAAGTACACTCTAAAATGGAAGAGTATTTTAAGAGGCAAATGATGTCTTAGTAACATCATGAAAGTATTTTTGACCTCAGGGATACCCTTGAAAGGGTCTCAGGGACTTTGGGTCCTTAGATCAGATTTTGAGAACTTCTGGTTGGGATGAATTAGAAATGAGCTCTTTAGAAAAATAATTCAAGGACTTGTACAAAATGCTGTCATGTGACTCACTCTACCCAACAGAACACTCGGTCTATGAGGAAGTGGGGAATAAAAGAAAGAAGAATGAGGGACATAGTAGGCATTTGAATACTAGAATAGAGGGAAGATCACAGGACAGAAAACCTGGGTTCAATTCCACTTGCTAGCTATGTGACCATGAACAAGTCATTTGAATGGAGCCTCAGATTCCTCATTATAAGATGTACTACCTGCCCCACAGGAAACTTGTAAGGCTCAAATAAGATAATCAAATAAGTTCCAAGATAAGTTTGGAACTAAATCAATATATAAAGATTACCCTCAAATGAGAGACACACTCTCTTGCAGCTTCTGTTTTAAGGTGAGTACATATACACGAATTCACGTCTTCAAAGACACCAATCAGAAACAAAGATGCATATTAAAGGAGTGGTTTAGTCAAATGAGAAAGACGGATGGCACCTAATATTTATATTTAGTTAATGATTTTTCCTCTTCTACAGAGGGCTAGGTCAGGTGAAGAAAGAGAGATAGTAAAGCTGAGTGAAAATACATGCGAAAATAGTATAACAATGGCAGAAGAGATGGTAAGGCTAGGCAGAATGATAGCATCTGAGGCTGTAGTTAGACCCATCACCAGTTCCAGACAAAACTCTGGAGCAAGTGCAAATTCATCCTTCCTCTTTCCCTACCTAGCCTTTGGGGTACAGTCCAGTCACCTGCAGCCTATACCACAAGATCAATATATCTATCTTCTGGTTATGTCCTATGTCCAACCAATCCTAACAGTTCCGGAATTAAGCCATTGTCTATTCGAGTAGCTGTCCTTTAACCCAGATAAAAGGGTAGTGATTCTGGTGAACAGACATCCAGTGCGTCTGATCCTTTTTATCCTTTCTCAGTGCCTATCATCAAAATTTCTCTAGCACGTCCTGGGCCATTGGACTCCTGGTACCTATGTCTATCAGTTGACAGAAACAGAGATGATTTCACCCTCAGCTAAGGACTTACTACAGTTTGCCCAAGTTAGTAATCAGCTTTTTTGGGAGACCTGGCACCTAGTGAAGCTACTCAGGACCCATGACTTCATAGCATATAATCAAGACTGTAGAATCTCCCCCGGGACTCAATCTGCTTCTTTAATCAGTATCAAATAGTGGTGGTCATCTCTAAAGATTGGCTTTATTCCCTCAGATAAACACTTTCCCTGGGTAAGCATCCAGGATTGAGAACCCCCAAATGTGATCTGAAAGCTAAAGATCTTACACATTTCACAAGTTGGCTTTCTCCAGTCCCTTCTTACAGTAATTCCCTTCATTGTACTTTATCCTCCAGCCAAACTAGTCTAGTCACAGAATCACAGAAGATCAGATTTAGAAGCCACTCTGGAGGGCATGTCATCTGAACCCCTATCTCAACAAGAAGCTGCCCTACAATATACCCAACAAGTGGACAACTAGGCTTGGCTTCCAGACCTCTAATGAGGGATAATCCAATACCTCTAAAATCACTGTTCCCTGAATATATCCTGTTCTTTTTCATCCGCATGCCTTTTGTTCATACTTTCCCTTATGTCTGGAATATCCATCCTGTTGACATCTTACCCATCTTTGAAGGTCCACCTCAAATGCTACCTCTTCTATGAAGCCTTGTGCAGGTAGAAGTCAATCCCTCTACCTGCACAAATGATCAAATTCCATCCTGTCTTCTCCAATAGAGATAGCCCTTTCTGTCGTCCTTACTCTCTCACTTATCTTCAATCTGCTGGCTCCTTCCCTACTGCCCACAGACATGCCCTTGTGTCTCCTCTATCCTCAAAATACCCCTTACTTGATCACTTCCCTGCTATCTCCTATATTTTTTCTGCTCTTTATGGCTAAATTTCTTTAGAAGGCTGCCCACAGTTGGTGCCTTCACTTTCTCTCCTCCCACTTTCTTCTTAACCCTTCCCTTACAATCCAACTTCTGATCTCATCACTCCATCAAAACCACTCTCTCCAAAGTTACTAATGATCTCTTAGTTGCCAAATCCAATGACCTTTTCTCAATCTTCATTTTCCTTGACCTATCTGCAGCCTTTGACACCATCCATGACTCTCTTTTGCAGATTTGTGGGACATTACCTTCTCCTGGTTCTCCTCCTACCTTTCGGACCATTCCTTTTCAGATTCCTTATCCATATTACACCTACTAACCATAGATGTCCCACAGGGCTCCCTCCTGAGTCCTCTTCTCCTTCTATACTATTCGTTTGGTGATCATATCAGTTATCATGTTTTTAATTATCATCTCTATGATCCTCTCTGATGATTCTCAAATCTACCTAACCAGCCGTAACATCTCTGCTGACCACCAGTCTTGGATCTCCAACTGCCTTTCAGACATCTCAAACTGGATATCAAGTAGACATCTTAAATTCAATATTTCTAAAACATTATCTTTCTCCCTACACTGTCCCTCTTCCTAACTTCCCTATTAGTATCAAAGGCACCCCTATTCTACCAGTCCGCCAAACTAGCAAAAACCTCACCTCCCATATCCAATATAGTGCCAAGAACTGTCAATTTCACCTTTACAACATCTCTCAATGTTTCCATTATTCCTCTGATGCTGCTACCACCCTGAGGCAGGCCCTCATCACCACACACCTGGACTATTGCCATAGCCTACTGGTGGGTCTGCCTGCCCCAAGTCTCTCCCTTCTTCAATCCATCCTCCATTCAGCTACCAATGTAATTTACCTAAAGCATGGGTCTAATTATGTCACACATACTCCCTACCCCTCACACAGTAAACTCTAGGGGATCCTTATATTCTCTAGGACTGTAATTCTTTGTTTGGCATTTAAAGCCCTTTAAAACCTAGCCCCCTCCCTTTTCCTCTCCCCTCCCCCCCACCCCTACTCTTCAATCTAGAGATACTGGCCTCCTGCCAGTTCTATGAATATATTCCATCTCTCTCTTCCAACCATTTTCTCTGGTTGTCCCGCATGCTGGAATGCTCTCATTCCTCCACTCTGACTACTGACCTCCCTGGCTTCCTTTAAGTCCTACTTTCTACAAGAAGCCTTCCCTAACCCCTCTTAATTCTAGTTCATTCTCTTTGCTAAGTATGTCCTATTTATCTGGTATGTAGCTGGTTTGTACATATTTGTTTGCTAAGTCTATTCCCCATTAGATTGTGAGCTCCTTGAGGACAAGGCTGTCTTTTTGCTTTTCTTTGTATCCCTAGCACTTAGCACAGTGAATAGCACATAGCAGGTACTTAATAAATGCTAACTGTCCTAGTCTCTCAGTTGGAAGTACTCTTTCCTCTTCTCTCAAAGTACTTTATGCTTCTCCCTATACATTTATTGTAATTTAATTTGTATTTTATTTATCCTTGTGGAAAGTAGCATGGTGTAGCGGAAAGAGCACTGGAGCTAGAGTCAAGGAACTTGCATTCTAATCCTTGTTCTGCCACTTACTACCTGTGTGACCTTGAGCAATTCACTTCACTTTTCTGAGTTATAGTTTCCTATTCCCCTCTAATATTAAGATACTATGATCATTTCTTAATTGTGAATTTCTTGAGGAAAAAAGACTATGTCTTATTTATTCTTGTACGTAGCGCCTAGCAGACAATTAATACTGAATGAATGAATTTCCCCTGAGGAAATGTCCAAGAGGGGGACAGGTACTGGAATAGTTCAAAATCTCCAGTGTTAAGATTGTTTGGTAACAGGGCACTGATCTCAGTGTTCACCAAAGTAACTAAACTAGATTCTTGGATTTTCCTTCTTCCACTGAGGCTGTCAAGAAGCCTCATCTACTTTTTCATCATCTGTCTTATCTCAGTAAAACAAACAAAACAATCCCTGCTGGCCCAGGACAGTACCTCTGTGAGGGGCCGGGGCCGCCTCTCCACCACAAATTCTGTGTGGCACAGCTCGCAGTAACTAGTGTTGGAGGAAGAAAGCCATTTCTCCAGGCAGCTCTTGTGCACAGTACCCAGCGTGCCTGTGCAATCACAGGGCGACAACAGCACCTCCCCACTGGACCCTTCATGGCAGATTCGGCAGATGGGTCCATCACTAAGGACAAAAAACAAAACACATCATCACAAAGGCTTAGAACTGAGTGTACTCGTCTCTCAATTGTGGAGTCCTTGTGAGGAATGTGCTTTGTAAACTGTAAAATGTTATTTATATAAATGTTAGTCACCATCACTATCATCATCTTAAAGGTCTGGCATTATCCTTGCAGAAAAAAACCAACAAGAATTCTGGAAAGGCCTGTCCTATGGGTTCCTGCCTTGGGCATGGATTCCTTTGAGCACTGTGATAAACTGAGTGGGTAGTGACATGTAGCTGGACTAGAATGCAGTGTTAGGACAACAAGCAATTGCAAATCCTCAAGCACCTAAAATGAAAGTGTATCAGTAGCTAGAAGTACCCCCTCATTTACAGATAGAAAAGCTAAAGTCAATAGGGGGTGAGTATCTTGCCTAAGACCACAGCAAAAATTAGTGGCAGAGGGAGACTAGAACTTAGGTCTGACTCCTACAGCTTCAACACCTTTCATTGCTGCCTTCACTCCAGAAATCTAGTCAAGATCAGATATTTTCGTGACTGTTCATTTGGTGGTAGGAAATACATCTGGAATATAACTTGGAGAAAAAAGTCATTAAGAACCCCTTTAGTTTCACCCTCCCACCTCTTAGGATCATAAATTTAGAGCTGGGGTTCTTAACTTGTGGTCTATAAACTTGGTTTGTAAAAAAATATTTTGAGCTGTGTGACCCTGGGCAAGTCACTTAACCCCAATTGCCTAAAAAAATTTTTTTTTGATAATGATATTTCAATATAATTGGTTTTCTTTGTAATCCTATGTATTTTATTTTGATTTTAAGACATTACTCTGCAAAGGGGTCCATGGACCCCTGATCTGGTCCAATCCCATCATTTTACAGTGAGAAACAGGGGCGAAGAGAGATCACTTGCCCAGGGACATGTAGATCGTAAATAATAGAGTTGGGATTTGAACTCCTGTCTGCTGACTTTAAATCTAGCACTCTTTCTACTATACCACATTACCCTGATATGGAGAAAAATTAAAAAACACAGACTCTCTGTTTTCTGCACAGGAGACAAACTCTAAGTAATATAATTAGGATTGCATATTGCAATAAATTAGAAATTTTGCATATTAACCTTCAAAGACTGACAATGATCATTCTTTTTCTCTGAAGATTTTTGGTCAAAAAAATTTTTTGGGGGGTGGGGGGGCTTTTTTAAACAGAAGACATGGGGAGAAGGGGAAAAATGGTGTACATAAAGAATAGTAGTGCCATAAGTAACTTGTAACTTTATATATGATTTCCCAGTATGCCTTTAAAAAAAATGCATCTCTTAGAAAATCTACCTTGGTTTTCACACAAAATAAAACCGATGCAGCTACAATTAGGAGGAAAAGTTAACTGAGAAAAAAATCTTTGTAACTAGTTTCTCTAATAAAGGCCTCATTCCCAAGATATATAAGGAATGTATTCAAATTTATAAGAATAAGAGCCATTCCTCAATTGAAGGTCAAGGTATATTAATAAGTAAAGTAGTTCTCAAAGGAAGAAATTAAAACTATCAACAGCCATATGCTTTTGGGGGGGGGAGGGGCTAGGGCAATGGGGTTAAGTGCCTAGGGTCACACAGCTAATGTCAAGTGTCTGAGGCTGCATTTGAACTCAGATCCTTCTGACTCCAGGGCTGTTGTTCTATCTACTGCACCATCTAGCTGCCCCCAGCAGCCATAGGCTTTTTAAAATTAGGGTTTTTTCCCCCCATCAATGAAAATTTTCTTTCTCTCTTGAATTTCTTTCCTTCCTCCCACTGAGGAAGAAAGAAAAACAAAACTCCTATTTCAAACATGCATAGTCAAGCAAAAGAAATTCTCTCATTGTCCATATCTGAAAAAAAAACATGTCTCATTCTTCACTCTAAGATCTATAGGTACCACATTTCATCATATCATGAAGATTGTAGAATCATGGCTGGGCATTGTGTTGATTCGAGTTCCTAAGTCTTTCAAAGTATCAACAGCTATGTATGTAGAAAATGCTCCAAATCACTAATAGTTAGAAAATACAAATTAAGGCAACTCTGAGGTGTCACCTCAACCTCATCAGATTAGCAAAGATGATTAAAAAAAGAAAATGACAAATGTTGAAGGGGCTGCTGGAAAATATGCATATCAATGCACTATTAGAGTTATGAACTGGTCCATCCATTCTAGAAAGCAGTTTGGAGGCGTGCCCAACATGTCACTAAAATGGGCATATCCTTTGACCCAGGGACACCATTTTTAGGTCTATAATTCAAAGTGATCAAAGAAAAAGGAAAAAGATCCACATGTAGAAAAAAATATTTATAGCAGTTTTTTAGTTTTTTTAGTAGTAGCAAAGACCTAGAAACTAAGGAAGGACTCATGAGCTGGGGAATAACTGAACAAATTATGATATATGAATAAAATAAGATACTATTGTGCCATAAGAAATTATGAAAAGAATCATTTCAGAAATATCTGAGAAGACTTGTATGAATGATACAGAGTGAAATGAGCAGAACTAGGACAAAACTATACAATAACAAGACTGTGAAGACAACAACTTTGAAAGATAAGAACTCTGATCACTATAAGGACCAACAATGATTCCAGAGGACCAATAATGAGGTATGCTACCCTCCTCCAGACAGAGAGATTCAAGATGCAGAATGAGACAGACATTTAAAAATATGAACAATATAGGAATTCGTTTGGCTTGAGTATGAATATTTGTTACGATTTTGCTGTTGTTTAACCCATTTTAAGGAGGGTGGAAAAGGGAGAGAAAACAAATGTTTGTTCATTGAAAAATAAATTTAAAATGAAAACAACAACTAAAAGAAAATCTCTCCCCACACACACAGCAGTACCTATCAAAATACTACCCATCCGTCAAGGCCAAGCTTAAACATCACCTTGTTTGTGGTGCCTTCCCTCAGCCTTCCTGGCCCACATCTTACTAAATGTTCTCTCTACTCTGAACTCTCATAACACTCTGTTCTATGTAGTACAGACTATAATTGCTTTATAATTACTTGTGAAGTTGTTTCTCCTACCAGACAGACTATAAGCTCTTTGCAGGCCTGGATTGTATTCTTTTCATATTTGTAATTCCCATAACATCAAGCACAGTATCTTACATGTATATTCAATAAATGGTCACTGAATTGGAAGTCAATACAGATCTGGCCTTATTGGTTTTTTTTGTTTGTTTGTTTGTTTGTTTGTTTTTAAGGCAATTGGGGTTAAGTGACTTGCCTAGGGTCACACAGCTAGTAAGTGTCAAATGTTTGCTCTGAGGATGGATTTGAACTCAGGTCCTTCTGACTTCAGGGTTGGTGCTCTATCCACTGCAACACCTAGCTGCCCCTGGCCTTGTTGTTTTTAAAACTAAACTGAAGTTTCCAGCCTTACATTGAGTTTCTAGCCAATGCTTCCTTCAGGATCTTTATAGCATTATACCTTTGTTTTTAGCTTCCTACTTTTAGTCCTATCCCTATCAGAATTCTACAGATGGCTACTACTTGAAGGAGAACTACTCTGGAATTAATTCAGAATGATAACTGGTTGATGAAATAAATGATAACCTCGAGAGAAAGGTTCATGATAAGCACCTTGCAGAGCCTAAGATATTTAAACAAACAAGCAAACAAAAACTTTAGGCAAGTGGTTTCAAAGAACTCACAGAGAAGATAAGTATGGGGGCAGCTAGGTGGCATAGTGGATACAACACCAGCCCTGGAATCAGGAGAACTTGAGTTCAAATCCAGCCTCAGACACTTACTAGCTGTGTGACCCTGGGCAAGTCACTTAACCACAATTGCTTCCAAAAACAAACAAACAAAAAACAACTAGCCTTATAAGGGGCAGCTAGGTGGTGAAGTGGAGAGCACCAGCCCTGGAGTCAGGAGGATCTGAGTTCAAATTTGGCCTCAGACACTTGACACTTGCTAGCTATGTGACACTGGGCAAGTCACTTAACCCTATTGTCTACCCAAAAAAAGAAAAGAAAAAAAAGAAAAGATAAGGATGATCCCAAGGCCAGAGACTCTAAAAGAAAAGGTACTAAAAAGGAAAGGTGCTCTCAAGAACAGAATTCTAATGACAACAATTGCAAATCATCCCAATGAAGAAAGAAAGAAAGGAAAAGACTTCTAAACAGACTCAGACCCACATGGCTGCACAGATTTATTCAGTGAGCTCAGACACAAAAGATGAGAAGACAGCGGCATTTAATCAAGGAATACAAAAAAATTAGTGAGCCTATAAAAGCTTTAATTTTAAAAATCTAAATCCCAAAATGACCTAAGCCTTGTGAAACATAAAGACAATAACAACAACAAAAGACTTTTGGAACAATTATGGGAACAAGAAGAAGGGAGGAAGAGTTTTACAGCTTAATGTTAATAGATAATGGAAACAAGGCAGAACTATCCAATTCCTATTTTACTTTTGTCTGCTTTCTTTTGACTTGAAAGGATTAGATAATTACTGGTTGGGAATTGATTGACATGATGAGAAGGAGTTGGTAAGAAAGCAAATAACTACTTTAAGTGAATCTTCAAGCCCAGGCAAAAAGCATCCTGTTGTTCAGTCACGTCTGACCCTTCGTCACCCCATTTGGGGTTTCTTTGGCAAAGATACTGGAATGGTTGACCATTTCCTTCTCCAGCTCATTTTACAGATGAGAAAACTGAAGCAAACAGGGTTAAATAAGTGACTTGCTCAGGATCACACAGCTACTAAGTGTCTGAGGCTGGATTTGAACTCAGGAAGATGAATCTTCCTGACTTCAGGGTTGGCACTCTATCCACTGTGCCACCTAGCTGTCCCTAAAAAGCATCCTAGGGTATTGAAATTACTAACAGTTATGATAAAGGAAGCACTATATCAGTAATCTCTGAAGAATTATAGAGGAAAGGAGAGGTTCAAAAAGACTAAGAACAGGAAAAATATCCTTTTTTTTTTTTAAAGGACATAGTGATCATTTGAAACCATATGAATTCCTTAAAAACAAATCACACAATTAAGTCCACTTCCTTCTTTGATAAGGCTGATCTTATCAGATCAGGGAAGAGTAACAGACATAGTGTAGTGTCTTCATTTGCCTTCCCCAATACATCTGGCAAAGTTAGTAGGTCCGAGTGGCCAAAATAGATAGATGCTCACTGAGCATGGTAAAGTGGATTTATGTATAGTCATTTGAATGTTCACATTCAAGAGACTGGACTAACATCAAACAGCAGAAAGCTCTCTGGCGGCCTCCTGTAGGGCTGCCTTCTTGGGTAAATTCTGTTGGATATTTTATCAATAACCTGATACTTTACAACATGCTAATCATAATATGTACAAATAACATGAAGCTGAGAGGAACAGTTAATGTGTTGAATGATAAAATCAAGATTTGAAAAGATGGGCTATGTTTAACTAGATGAAATTAAAAAGGAAAAAACAGAGACTCTCAGTTTCCCATAGTTTGAAGGAACCTCAGAAATTACCCATTTTCATCTCTACTCAAAGTGTAAATCTCATTTATAACATTCCTGGTAAGTTGGAATCCAGCCTCTACTGAAAGGCCTTCAGTGACAGGGAGCTTACTAGTCCCAAAGAAGTCAACCACATCTCTGGACAACTTTAATTGTGAAGAAACTTTTCCACACAGGGAGGTAGATTTAAGCTCAATATAATTCCCATCCCTTGGTGCCAATTCTGCCTCTTTTCAGAACCAGGCACAAGAAGGTTAATCCCTTTTTCCCCAAAAGCCACAAGAATATAAAGCCTTGAGGCAGCTAGGTGGCACAGTGAATAGAACACCAGCCCTGGAGTCAGGAGGACCTGAGTTCAAATCCGGCCTCAGACATTTGATACTAGCTGTGTGACCCTGGGCAAGTCACTTAACCCCAATTGCCTCATCCCCCCAAAAAATATAGAGCCTTATCTCCCACTAACTCATACATAAAATATAACCTCCAGTAAAACTGAACTCCTCTCCATTTCCCAAAACCCTTCACCTTTTTCCACTTCTCATGCTACTCGTATTATCTGGAAGGCTGCAACATTTGTCCCCTATACCTCCACCCCACTATCCTTCGAGGTTCAGCTTCAATGATACCCATTCCGTAATACTGTCACTTGTCATTCCATTTGGAAGTGATCTGTTCCACCTCTGACCTTCTTTAATATTTTTATTATAGTTCTTGTTCAGGGCCCTTATCATATTCTGCCTTATACTTATTCATATACATTTCAAATCTCCCCTAATAGCTCTTTGAAAGCAAGAACTATTTCTTAAACAAATTTGCAACCTCTTCAACCCCTCCAGTATCTTGAATGGGGCCCAGCACATAGCATGTGCTTACTAGATATTTATAAATAAATGAATAGTAACATTTCATTTTCTGAGTAACAGCCTGGTCATAGATTGAATTAGTGAGGTAACACTGTGGCAGGATAATAAAAATATCACAAAATACAAACTCTGCTTCCTTAGAGTAACTCCTACAATTATCTAGCAATTTAATCCTCCAATAAGTCTAAACTTCTGAAATAATCTTTAACAGATAATGACAGCTAGCCTTTACAGACATCATCAACCACTTGGAACATTCCTTTACTTCTTGATGGCAAACAGGCCAATCACAACAAGTCAGATGGGATCTTTAAGACTTCATCTTCTCAGCTGCCTTGTTACTTCCTGCTCAGGGACTGTTTCTTTGATGCCAAAGACCTATTTTACATAATTCTGGGTTCAGAGAAGTTCCAGAATGTGAAAAGATACCTGAGGTTTTATTACATATTCAGAGTTACCATATAAAGGACAATGAGATTTCTAGTCTCCATTAGAAATCAAATGAAATAATATATGTAAAGCACTTAGCATAGTGCCTTGCACAAATAAGCACTTAATAAATATTTATTTCCATCCTGCCACCACCACCCCACATCAATTCACTAAACACAGAATAAGAGGAAACAGGTTTTATACTGCGTCAAGAAGGACATAGGTTGGAAATAAAGGAAGAATTTCCAAGCCAATGAAGACTGTCGAAATACTACAATATAATATTCAGCGGAACTTATAGTATTTCTCTTTAAAGTTTCAAAACAGGATTGAGTCTTTTCTTAATGACAGGATCTTAGCATTAGAAGTGGCATAAAGGTGATCTTATTCAATGCTCTCTACAATATATGAATTCCTCTATAACATTCATGATAGATATTTATCCAACCTCTACTTGAATATCTCTAGTGAAAGAGAAACCACCCACTCCTAAGGCAGTAATTCCTTTCTTCTCCCCCCTGCCCTGAACAGCTCTAGTTTGTTAGGAAATTTTTCCTAATATTGAGCTGAAATCTGATTCCCTGGAATTTACTCCTATTGGTCTTTAGTAATGCTCTCTTGGATTACATAGAACAAGTCTGCTTCTTTTCCACATGAAAACCTTTCAGATATTTGAAGATAATGATCACCCTGCACCACCACATACATGTAGGCATTACTTTGTCTAAGCTAAACATTCCCAATTATTTTAATTTATTCTCATATAAAATGACTATCTTGGTCGCTTTTTCTCCAATTGTACTCCAGCTTATCAATGGCCCTACTAAAATGTGGTATCCAGAACATAACACAATGTTTTAGGTGTCACATAACCAAGTCAGGAGGGTGGCAAGATTATGGCTTCCCCTAATCTGAACACTAGACTACTATGTTGTACTTCTATCTGAGATGGTTTGGGTATAGTCTTATGCAAAAGCAAAGAGAAATCAGGACACCAATTTATAAATAAAATTATACTGACAAACAACTCTGAAAGACAAAAACTGATCAACAAAATGACCAACCATGATCTCAACAGAGCCACGATGAAACATGCTGTCCACATGTTTCTTCTGAAAAACAGTGGCAGTAAGGTGATGATCTCACGGTGCTGAGTGAGACTTTTTTTTAAAATATGGACTTTTTTTGGAACTTGTTTTCCTTGACACTGTGTTTTTGTCACAAGGGTTTTGTTTTTCTTTCTTTTTCAATGGGGGGGTAGAAGGGAGAGAAGATGGATTTTTTGTTCATTGAAAAAAAAAAAGATTTACATTTTAAAATAAGCAAAAGCAAGAAGCAGACTCTTTTAGCACTTAGTAATTAAGAAAGCCAGACCTTGACATATTAAAATGGCTTGACCTTCCCCAACTGTGGTCCTAAAATTGTCCTTTTTATTAACTAGGTTTTGGCTCCAGCATTTTCAAATCTGTATTCCAAATGGGCTCATCAAGATCCAGGTGGGGTAGAAGGAAAGAACCTTAGAAGACCAATGTGCTAATACCCATAAATCTGATTAATTTCACAGTTCAGAAGGCTTTATTGTGTATCAGTGTGGTGTCATTTCTATAATTTCAATAGGTTTTCTTCTTTTGAGATGGATGAGAAGATATTTATGAAGATCAGACACAATGTATCCCAGACTCAAGAAACAGAGAAATGCAAGATGCAGATTACAAAAGAGCACAAACATCAATAATATTCATCAGTCACCCAATTAATTCACTGGCTCTTTTAGTATGACAAAGTAGAGAAAGAAAATGATCAGTGATTTATGGCCTTTAGGGAATAAAATTCCCTAAGTTTTTATTCTTACAACATGCCAATTTCCCACTCCTTCTCAAATGTGCCTTATTGCATAGACAAAAGTTTTTTTTTTTTGTTAAACTACTCTGAGATAAACTGAGTTTCAATTATTGACTTTTGATACTACCACTAAGCTAATTAAAAGTACCCTAGAGGTTGCAAGTCAGAATTGACAATTACTGCCTTGTTCTGCTATTGGATCAAGAAGAGAATGATGGGCCTGTATCCTCTTCTAGCCATAAGGGGAAAATACTTTTGGATAAAGTCCCAACACACTTCTGTAGAATCAGAAGGCTGGATCATCTGCTTCCAGACACAACTGGGGGGGAAGTTTTACCTTTGCGTGCCTAAGGCTTTGATGACAGTTGAGAGGAGCCGGCCATCCTTGGCTGTTACCTGGGTCACATATTGCGGATGCCCAAGGTCCGGGTCGGCCACGATCTTAGAAAAGGCCGTGTTTCCAGTACAGTCACACAGTGAGCCAGGGAGATGACAGCAGTCGCCTGTCGTCATGGCAACAAGGGACACATAGGCCTTCACAATTGGGGTTCCATGATCACAAGAGCCTGCAAAGAAACCAGCTGGAGCTGAAGTCCTACAAAGGCGCTAACCTTTCTGTGGTTTACTGTCCTGGGCCCTCCCTGTATGTACTTTCCTGCCCCAACCTCAATCCCTGAACAGCTCAACCATGCTCTCTAAGTAACAACTATTCTCATTAAGTTATTACGAATTCTTCTGGATCCTCAAACACCCCACCCCCCAGACCAGGCAGCTATAATCTGGGGAGTTATTTCAAAAAATTTTCCAAATTTTTCCTTTCCTTTTAAAATATAGGTCCCAGGTTCAGCTAGAAGGGAACTTAGATATCATCTAGTTCGATACACTTATTTTTACAGATGGAAAATAACTTGCTCCAAGGCTGCATAAAAAATTATTGGTACATAGCATGGTAATAAGCACCAGGAAACTTCCTAGAATTTAGTCAGACTATACACCAACAGCAATAATATTCATAACTGTTCACATTTATATAGGTCTTCGTGGTTTACAAAACACAAAGCTCTATAAGATAGGCAGTAAAAGTATCATTATCCCTCTTACACAAGTGAAGAACCTGAAGCTCAGTGAAGGCAAGTAAGTTGCCCAATGTCACACCACTAGAAGTGTTAAAGCTAGAAGAACTCAGGTCTCCTGATTCCAACTCCAGTACCCCAACCAGCATAAGGGGATGTTTTCAAGAAGCACTGAGTTTTCAAAAATCCACTTGGTTTCCATCTCACACCTTGATGTTTTGATCTGACTCTAATTCTTAGAAATAAAGCATCAAAAGTACAGTCCTGTTTCCAGCATCAGCAAAGCTTCCTACATGAAAGAAAGAGAAAAAAAACTGCAATTCCCTTATTTCACCAGACTGCTCACTGTGTTTATGGGAGAACAGAATCCAGGAGGGATCTTGATTAAACCATGCAAGTCTAAACCACACATACCTTAATCCAGAGATACCCTAGGATATCTAAACCAACTGATCCTGTACTTAATGTCTTTTTCTTCCCTAGAGGCTGCCAATGCTTTGAGTGTAACTAAGAGCACATATCAGCACAGAAAAGGGGTTAATCTAGGCTTCAGGGTAAGCAGGTCACCACATTATCTAAGCCTAGAAAGAGCTTAGTAACAAAGACAAAGCAAAGGGCAAAACACTCAGTGGATTTGGGTAAACCTGAAATCTACCAAGTAAACAAACCAATTCTATCATAATCCCCTTTACTCTTAAACCTGTTTGGGACATAGCTCATAGCCAGAGAAGATACCTACAGGGTAGACAAGTCTTCAAGGGTTCCTGGGCACTTTGGGTGTGTTCCAGGTCTGGGCCTGCTCTCAGATGAAACCATGATCTTTCTGTGGGTGTTTGTGAGAATATTTAAATGACTGGACCATCTACCCTGTCACTAGGTTACATTTAACTTGTCATATGTGTTATCATGTAATTGTTACCCCAGGTATAGCTCTAAGCAGACAATCAAAAGTGAGGGCAGGGACAATGTAGCGTATACCTCTTTACCCTGCTTCATGGTACAGAGCTGAGTACCTCAATATTTACTGAATTAAGTTGGAATCCAGAGATCTGGGTTCTGGTTGCAGCTCAGTCATTAACTATGTGACCTTGAACAAGTTATTTCATCTCTCTGAGACTTAAATTTTGTCATCTATAAAATTGCAAAAAAAAAAAAAGAAGAAATTTGGGCTGAGTAATCTCTAAAACCTCAACTAGGCTACAAAACCTGTGTTTTTATTAATGGGCTTTGTTTAGCTCCTTGCAGATATTTCTCATGATTTTCTACGGAGTAAGGTATTAGAAGATGTACTTCAAAGAGTAAAGGAGACAAATGAGGAGAGGAAAGAAAAGAAAAACAGTAGAAAAAGAAAATCTTTAATGGAAGGAGTAAGAGGGGAGACAGGACAGCTGAGATTTTAGGAGCTCTTCATCATTAGCCTTGATGTGTGACTTCCCAAGAAGAGCTATGCTTTTGATCTACTTCCATTCACAAGATGAGGCTTCCATAGTTTCTGAGATTATCCTTGCTCTGTACCATTCCGTACATTTTGCACATGAAGGAATTAATCAATGTTTGTTAAATGTATGCATTAATGAATGGAAGACATGCTTTCTAGATGCCTTGCCAACCTGGTTTCCTTCCCTTGGACACAATCCCTTTAAAAATGTGCCATCCATCAGCAATTAGGATACAGTTGAACAAATAATGGCACATGAATTCGATGGAATATTACTGTGCCATAGGGAATTATTAATATGAAGAAGTCAAAGAAACAGGGATAACCTTATATGAGAAAATACTGACTAAAGAAGACGAGTCAAAAGAATAATGTGTAGTGACTGCAACAATGTAAATAAAGTCAATGTGGACAGGCAACAACACCAGTCAAATGCAACAATATTAGTACCATATTGCCAAAGTTAAAGGACGCACCCCTTCTTTTTGTTCATTGAAGCCATGTGGATAAAGTGCTACACTTGGAATCAGAAAGACTTGGATTCATATCCCACTTCTGACACTAGTTGTATGACCATAGGCAAGTCATTTAGTCTCTGAGTCTCAGTTTTCTCATCTGTAAAATAAAAATAACATCATATATACTTCCCATTTCACAGTATAACTGAATATGAGTATAAAATACTTTTGCAAACTTTGAAGTGCTAGATAAATGTCAGTTATTAATAAGTGATAAACTTTTCTCAAATTTTTTTCAAAAGGGTTTCTGTGTTAATAAGTATTTGTTTTGTAAAAATAAAATTCATCAATGAATTTTAAAAAAAGTTAAAGTGAGGGCATCTAGAGCACAGAGGAACTTCCAATTATCATTAATCAAATTAGGCCTTTTTTTGATTGCCTAAACACCCATGACTCATACTGACCTGGCAGTCCACTAAGTCCTTCATCCTTTTTCACTAGAACTGTATCTCTTTATTACACATCGGTAAAACTGATTTAAAAAAAAATCCTAAAGACAAAGTTTAGCTCAAGCTAACTTCGCTTTGTTAAACTTCTACCAGTCTAGCTTTGTTGAATTCCAATTCTGTCATCCAGTCAACTGACTATCCCTTCCAACTTTGTGTCATTTCTAAATTTGATAAGCATGCCATTTGTCCCTTAAACGGAGCCACTAATAAAAACATTGAAGGGAGGAGTGAGTCTTGTGGCCGACAACAGACACCTCCCTTCAGGTTAAAATAGATTCTTTAAGCTTTAAGTCTCCAGGACCCTTCCTTCAACTTGGAGGATGGGGGTTGGGGGAGTGGGAAACATTGCAGGTGACAGCCTTGGAGAGGTTGTGGAGGCACTGTTGGAAACTCTGCCTGGTTAACAGAAACATTGCCCAATCGTGGCCTTGAGGATGGGGAGGAGGCACTCAGGTCACAACCTTGGTTGTGGGGGAGAAGACTATCTTGGTCAGGTAGGGGTGTTGACAATGAACTTGGCAAAAAGCACCTACTATGTACTAGATACTGTTTAAAACGCTGGCACTGTGAGGTAGGAGGTGGAACTACATATCACAACTTTAGATAGTGGGAAGACAGGTGTGCGCGCCAGGTGGGGGGCACACATTAGGTCAAGGCCTGGGGGTGCGGGAGGAGACACGACAGGTCACAGACTCGGGGTGGGGGTAGGCAGACACGCCGCAGGGAGCTGGAGAAGGGGAGGGCGGACACACGCAGCAGGCCATGGCCAGGGGCGGGGTAGTCCCGGGCATCCGCTGGGAGTGGAGGGTGAACCCTTTGCAGGTCACGGTCACGGGGAGGGGTCATGGCCGCCGATGGGAGGGGGTCAAGGGGACACAGCAGGTCACTCCCTCGGTGGGGTAGGGGAGGAAAGCCACTTCTCGTCCTTCACCACGCCGAGGGAGGGACACTGCTCAGCAAGGGGCGGCGGCTCCAGACCGGACACCGCCCCGAGCCGACCTGGAGCCGGGAGTAAGGAGGCCTCGGCCCCGCCCGGGCCCAGTTCCGGTCAGCCACCGCCCCAACCCGGCTCGCCTCTTGTCAGACACCGCCCCAGCTCCAGTCAGGCCTGGTCCTGGCCTAGTCTCTGGTTCCGGTCAGACACCGTCGCGGCTCCGGTCAGGCCTGGCCTCCCCTCCTGTCAGACACCGCCCCGGCTCCTGTCAGGCCTCGCCCGGGGCCCCGTCGGGCACCACCGCAGAGAAGCAGCGGCTCCCGCCTCCCCCCTCCCGACAGCTGAGCCTGAGGACCCCGGCCCTACCTGGTCCCGCGGGCCGGGCCGGGACGAGCCGTACCGCCCAGGGCTCCACTCAGCGCGGCGGCGGCGGCCCCGGCCCGTCCCGTCAGCTCCAGTCTGGTCGCGGCTCCGGGGCCAGCCCGGCAGCCCTTGATCCTGCGTCCCGGCCCTGGTCTTCCCTCCGCCCCCACTGACAGCTCCCGCGGCCAATGGAGACAGTCACTGGCGAGGCGCGGGCCAATAGACGCCCAGAAAAGCTGCACACAGGCGGGGCGTGGAAAGCGTCACGGACGGTTGCTCGCGCCCGGTCGCCCGATGTCTCCGCCCCGCGCATGAGGCTCCACCCCCAGGTCCGGGAAATCTTGGAGCAACTGCAATTAGAACGGGACCGCACGCGCCTGCTCAGAAGGGCCGGGAGGAGTAGGGCATGGAGCAGTCCAAGAAGCCTGGCTGGAAGAGATCTGTCCACTAGACTTGGGTTCAAGCCACGTCTGTTACTTGGAGTGCGTGACGTCTGGCAAGTTACTTTCTCTGGGGCCTCCGAAGACTGTCTACTGACCAACTTTTTCTCCCGGCTGTCATAAACATCATGATGATATCTGCAGCTCGCTTTTTCATAGCGCTTTAAAAGGTTTACAGAATGCTTCCCACGTTAGAATGATCTCCCTGGAAGGGCTTTATGGTGGTTCAGAACCAGTGGTTTTAGATTCTGGGCTAAAAGGAAGCGATTCAAACACCTTTTTACTTCCATAGCATTATAGTCCTCCCTCCACACCTTCAGCTCCTGTGGCTTCTTCTCCTATCCGAATAAATCCCAGGCCCAATAACATACGGCAGGCAGAGATCATGACAAGGGCCCTTTTCGGGCAGCTTCATTCTGCGAAGTAGCAGTTGGATGCAGTGGACCAAGGTTCAAATTGTCACCCTGCTACTCCTCTTTATTACTCCTGTAACCCTGGACAAGTCACAATCTCTCCAGGACTCTTTCCTCATCTCTAAAAGCAGTGTTCTCTTGTAGTAGAAGAATTTATAGATAAAGTCAGGAAGACCCAAGGTCAAATGCCACCTCAAATTCTTACTATATGATCCCAGCAGAGAGTCACAACTTCTGAGCCTGTTTCATCTGTAAAATGGGGATGTTGCCAATTCCATATTGTCAAGATCAAGTAATATATGTATCAAATGCTTTGCAAACTTTGAAGCAGTATTCCTAAATCCTAAACTGTAAAGCAGGGGTTCTTAACCTTTTTTTGTATCATTGTGGACCATTTGGCAGTCTGGTGAAGTTTATGAATCCTTTTTCAGAATAAGGTTTTTAATTGCATAAAATGTAGTTTTACAAAAGAAACCAATTATATTGATGATTATTATTTTAAGTTCACAGATCCCCACAGGTTAAGAACTCTTGCTCTAAATCCTTAAAACATCTCATTAGTTGCTTATGCTCTGATAAAAGTACTATGGAAATAAGTTAACTTTTTATTACAATGATAACACACCCAGTCCCACCCTTAGAAGGAAAGTCTTCTACTCCAAAGTGTTCTCAGGACAAGTAATGGGCCAACACTCCTGCTCCAGCACTTGAGCTCCATCACACCCATTTGAGATGACTGGCTAGTAAAGGTAAGGGGGACGCATCAGATGACAGGAAACTGGAAATCAATTTAACTAGTCTACAAAAAAATCCAAATTGGCAATCCTGGCCTTTATGGAAAATTATTCTAGATTGGTGGATGAAACCCCAATCTTACCTGTATGTCCCACCTTTGCAGGGGGTGGGGAGATGCTCCTGGTAGCTGTCAGCCTCTAACTCCAGACAACTTGGTTTCTTCAAGGAATTATAGCAAATCATGGACAATCTCAAGAGTAAAGGCAGTGGCATGTTTTCCTGGGGAAGTGGGGGCTCTGCTGAGGATGGCAGTTCCAAATTTTTGTGACCTGACCTCAACTCAGTGTCCCAAACCATCACCCTTCAGGAGCTGACAGAGAGAAACCTCCTTTCTTCATGTGGGGCTAGAAGCAGTCTAAGTTGTTCCCAGGCTGGCCAGCTATTGAACGCACAATCAGGCAGGAGAGTTCAAATGGCATTTTCTGCAGTAGGTACAATTCCAGGAAGAGCAAAGCCATCCTGAAAGACTCAGGAAGAGTCTTCTACCACTGCCAGCTTTCAAGTCTAGAGGAAAAAAAGGACCCCTAGGAGGAGTGTTGGGTGCATTCTGGCCAATCCAGAAAGTATTCCTGAAAATGGAGTGGTCAGATTTACACATTATCTGGCCCAGGCGTAACTGTACACCTTAAGGACTGAGCAACTCAACCAAGACCTGTTTCAAACTATCTGGAGCAGCTTAACCATCCCTTCCATCTAATCCCCTTGTCTCATCACCATCACCTTCCCTCCCCCCCCCCCCTCCCACCCCCCCTCTATGAGAGAGAAGGACTCGGTGGAGACAGACACTTTGGTATGGCAATCTTTATATCCACAACACAGAAAAACCATGCACAAATCCAGGGATGCGGGGCTCTATTTACAAAGAAGGTTGCACTGAACTAAACACAAGTGCTGTGGAGTGGAAGAAGAGACAGAGATATGAATGAACAGAGGTCTGCACTAGCCCTGGCTTTCCCATGCAGACGAAGCCCGTTTGCAGCATAGCAATTACTCAGCAATGTCCACTATTGACCAACCTAACCACACCCAGAGATTTGACCTATGTCAGGAAGACTCCCTACGGCTAGCTTAGTCATTCTACCCGTAATCCCAGTAGGTGGGTGTTGGAGGGGTAGAGTAGGGGATTCTGGTCAGTTTCCCCACCCCAAGCATACTTCCTCTTAGTTGCTGTTCACTGGCTCAGGGCCCTTGATGGCTTGCCAGCCTGTCATTCCAAAAAAATAAAGCATCTTCCAGAACTGCCCATGAGCTAGAATGTTGAATCCCTCAGAACTCAGGGGCATGTCTCAAGCCACATGACTCACATTTTCTGCCCTATGCCACTTCGGTCAGAAGTCTCTTCTCCTAGGCAATAACTTTCATAAACACCTAGATGCAAGTTAGCTGCCAAAGAAAGTCGGCAGGTAGCAGACTTAGTATGCTACCAAAGTGGAAGGACCAATGATGCCAAGGAAGAGGTGGGAAAAGGGCAACCCCAACTCTGAAGCAGAAGGCACCAGGTGGACCCAGGCCTGCTTGTCTCATGGCCAAGGCTAGCTGGGATCCTACTCCTAACTTGGATTATCCACAGGGATAATGAAAGAAGAGGCCAAGAAAAAATAAAAGGCCTTAATCTTCACCCCAGGCAAGAAACCAGATAGCAGCAGCAGGGTCCTGGAAGACAGATGTCCGGGACAGGATAGCTAAGAGTCATTTCACACTGCCCTGGAACATGGCTGTAGTATGAAGGCCTCTAAGCTGGTGAAACTTGAATAATTTAGTCAAAGGAAGTCATAACCTAGAAGGGTTATCCAGAATCCATCTTCCCTTTCTGTGATACTGGCCCTGGCCTGAAAGAGAAGGGGTGGTCATTAGGCTGTTAGATAAGCTGTCAGAAACTTGGTGGTGTCTTGGGAGCTTGAATCCTGAATAATTAATGTGCCTGTATATGTCCCAGAACTCCACCCCTGCCACAACCACAAAAGCATTTCTACATCTTCCTAGAAATCTCAGAAAGGCAGGCTGAAGGACTGAGTTGAACAGTTCTAGTTTCAACAGTCCTTCCTACCCAGGGCCAGCAGCAGCAGCAGCAGACTCCTGGAGTTTTGGGGGCCCTGGAATGTCACCAAGTTAAAATTTCCACCAACCCATACTAAGAAGTTACAGTCTCAGCTCAAGCTTTGGGGCAGAAGGGAAAGACCCAATTTAATTGTTGAGGGCTGGAACAATTTCCTGCTGTAGAGCTGAGAAGCAAGTCAAGGGACTTTGAATAAGGCCTGGGAGTACTAAATATACTGCCCCAGCCTGAACTTTCATGGTGGCATGGAGCAGGGCACTTCAAAGGAAAAAAGCTGTATTTCCTAGCCTGACTCCTCCTCAAAGGAAGGGCAGTTTGTGAGGCCAACAAGAAGATGAATGACTCCCGAGTGGCTCCTCCCTTACCTCCCCTGCCCAGAGATCACTTGCTTTTCTTGATGAAGAGCAAACTCCCTGTAAACTTACAAGACCAGTACATTAAAAGCAGCCCAGGGATGACAAGGAAGAGGAAACTACACCAAAGGGCATATACAGTGCCTATTTTTAAGCCAACAGAGCAGAGATTAAGGCCCTGCCTTGCCTCTAAGGCCAGTGAAAGTACAGAGTCACTGACTCCAAAACACGGATAGACCCTCATCCATTCTATTCCAGCCACTTCCAAAACGCTGCTGCCAATACTGGGACCTCTGATACCTTGCACTCCATGTAAGGAAGAGACTTCATCTCCAGTCATGCAGCAACTTGTGCTCTGAAGCTGGCATCTGGCTGAAACCCAAGCCCCACATCAGCCTAGAAGACCCATCAATGAAATCCTTCCATGTAGAACAGCAACAAGGCTAGGGCCCTGGACACCCTCCTGAAACCAGAGGACACAAACCTTGAAGGTTAAATGCTCCAGAACAACTAGTTCTCACTTGGCAAGGATCCCACAGTAACTCCAACAGGTTATCAACTAACCCTGGGAAGATGTCTTTGTCTTTTACATGCACAATTGGAAGAAAAACCCCTCCGTCTTATTCCGAAAGCTAGCTTTCAAACAATGCCTGGAATGTTAGCTCCACTTTTCCCCTGTCACCCATTCAGGAGATGCTGGTTGTACCACTAGCACAAGGTTCTAATGTGCAAAGGGGATGGGGTAGGGCATCCTACCCCAGCGAGAGCATATGACACTCGTCTGCCTACAGCCAACATGCTCAGAGGCACAGCTAAACTGTCCTCCCTCTTCCTTTGGCTAACCTCAGCGTACCATGCAAACAAGCACACATGGCTGGGGCAAGCTGATTGCCTGGCTGGACCATCACCAACTTTAGCCTGACCCTCTAGAAAATGGGAGCGTGATCTGGTTTCTCTTGTTGTATCAGACAAAGACGCGAAGTGGTCAAGATTGCTGCTGAGGCTAGTTGGCATCAGGAAAAGTATAACTGTTGCAAATAGCATCCTGGCACTGAGGAAATGAGAAAAGGGCGAAGGAACACAGTTGCATACAGGAAATAGAATCATACATTTTAGTAAAGGTCGAGAAAAATTATAGCCCATGAGAGTCAACTGTTAAAGAATGAAAGGGTGAGGGAAAGGGTTGAGATGCTATGATTTGGCATAAATCTTACAAAATGTATAAAGAATCCATGTTTTTCTACAATAACAAAACCCAAAAACTCTAAGTGCAGTTATATACAAAACATGAGAATATTGCTTCCCTTGCAAATGGGTCTCAGGCAAGATGGCAGGTTGGAGAGGGAGCTGTGGGCAGAAAGGAGATTACCAAGGGCCTGCACAGGCTGAAGCTGGTCGGGGTTCTGGGACAGGAGGGAGAGGCCACAAAGGAAGGCCCGGCACTTGCTGGATGCTCTGGTTAAGGAAGAGGATTCTCTCTGGTGGCTGACAAATCATTCCATCATCTCAGCCTGCCCCTGGGCTCCTGAGCCTCCTTCCTGGGGCAAGAGGTACCCAGTAATGACTCTCCCTAGGACCAGGCCCAGAGGCTAGCCACGAGAGGGAGGAAAATCTGGGGATTGTGTCACCATGGGTCTTCCACCACCAAATGAGAACCCCAATGCTCATCGCAGGATCCCAACTGGACACAACAGGACATCTGAGGAAAAGATTTTTTCCCTCTTTAATTTCAGCACACCTCCTCCCTTCCCTGCTCCCCATCTTCCCCAGAGATCTAAGAGTCTAAGAAAAAGTTGGGCTAAATGCAAAAGCAAATCAGTGTAGGTATGTCTTTCTTCAGCCGTGATAAATGAGGTCTTGGTTCCTCCTTCTCCTCCCACCAATCACTAGACAACCAAGTGGCACTGCCCAGGGGAGCAGCCAGGGCTCACCCTCTGAGGGGCAGAATCTGTACAACCAGGCCCAAGGTCAGCCCACTCCCCTGGGAGCCTGAGAGGAAAGGGGGGTTAGGCCTACAGTTAATGCTGGAAAATGGACGTTGGGGATGGGGGAAGAAACGAGGATGACAAAGAGTCACTGAATCACAGGAGATAACTGCAAAGACGTGCACACGCGTTTCTAACTGAAGCACAGCGAGGTAAGGGCAGGCAGGGAAGGCGCTTCTGGGCGCAGGTGGTCACAGGTTCTGGCAGCACTGGAGTTTGTTGGATTTCTGTCCATCAGTGGTGGGGGGGACACTGATGTCTACCACGTTGTTGCCAGGAGATTCATCATGTGCAGAGCGGTCAGCAATCTGCTTCTGGGATACGATGCGGTAAATCTCTGTGGGCATACAGACTTTGGGTTAGCAGAGTAGGAAAGGGACCTGCCAAGGTCAGCAGAAGAAAACGCACAGATCAAAGCTGTGCCCCATAGCGCTACACATTTTGTCCCTGGTTCCAGACAAGAAGCAGAAACACACCTAAGCAGAGAGGGAGCCCAGGCACACAGAGAGATGCTGTCCTGGTGACCCCCTCTTTCCCTTTCCATAAATTCAAGCAGCCCCTGGAGCAGAGCTGTTAGGGGCCATCACTCCCAACCTTAACACCAACTTTCAGTGAAGATGGGATTCGTTCTCAGTTCCAACACACAGAACTTCCATTCTTCCTTCATCTATGCCTCAACTTTCCTTTTTATGTTATTTTTACTTTATCTTGGTTAGGCAATGGGGTTAAGTGACTTGCGCAGGGTCACACAGCTAGTAAGTGTTATGTGTCTGAGGCCACATTTGAACTCAGGTCCTTCTGAATCCAGGGCTGGTGCTCTATCCACTGCGCCACCTAGCTGCCCCTCAACTTTCCAACAATAGGATAGGCTTCTTGTTTTTGTCTCCCTCTATTCACCAGGGAACTTGAGGAATTCGTGCATTAACAGGTCAGGTGCTTCTCATACATACTTCAAGTATGTTATGCTAAGTTAGCCTTAGGGGAAACAAAAGGACATATGTGGAAGGGATCCTGAGCCAGTCACTTAACCTCTGTTTGCCTCAATTTCTTCAACTGTAAAATGGGGATAATAATACCACCTACCTGGAAGGGCTTTTTTTGTTTGTTTCTTTGTTTCTGAGATGGCTGAACCACAAAGCAGTTAGCTGTTTAGTAAAAACAGCAATGGGGTCCTGGGAGAGGGAATTGATATACCCTCCTGGGTTATGGCAACTGGGGCTTCACCTAGACTTGTCTGTCACCCCACTGAACACATATGTGGTCAGGTCTGGGGTAGGGTGGCACAACTCCCTCCCCCATGATTCCTCGTGCCAGGGGCTTCCTGGAGGGAGGCTGAGGATGGGGATGGGGCCAGTCTCAGGACCCAAAGGCAGTTCTGGATCACTCTCACTCTCTTCTCCCAGGGGCCAGCGCTGTCTAATCTGGTTGGCTCCTGTCCTTCCTACCCCAAGGGGTAGGTAGCATAACCCTAATGGTAACACAGGCACTGGTAACAGAATCCTACAGATATGACCTCCCACCACAATATGACTTTCTCTGGCAATAAAACATGCTGGGTTACATAACTAATTCTGGCATCCCAGAAGAGCAGTGAGTTTCTGGCAGTAACAGCACAGTTGAAATGATTTTTGCTGCATGTGGGACAAGGTACAAAGGGCTGGGAATGCCACAGCCTCCACATCCCATTCACTGAATCCCCTCCAACTTCTGGCTGCTCCCAGGCTCCCACCAACCCTTAGCTTTCATTTCCCCCTGAGTTATGCTTTAGATAATTACTTACTTGCCAAGTTACCTAAATGTATTAGAAAACTGACAGAGAGTTGTCCTACTTGGGCATACCTCTGTAATAGGTAGCACCCTACTTCTGCCCTTACCACCCTCCCAGTAACAGTACATTCCATCGGCTGGAGCCACTTAGGCTCTGATTGTCAAATACAGACAGGACAATTACCTGGATCTCTCAGGTAGTGATACAGTCTGTCTACTGCTTTTGCAGAACAGCGTGTTTACCATGATCACCTCCTATCTCCACTTCCTGGACCTAAATGTATTCATGGCATCTAAACCAGGGACGAACAATGGGCTGTATACTACACTAATACTATACTATACTACAGTATACTTACATCCGTATATTAGCATAATGTCATCAAAAATCTATGAGAAAATACTATTCTGACTATATCCTACAGCTTTACAGTAACTCCACACCTAGAGAATTACTATGACTATCCCATTCAGAGAAGAATTTCTAGGGATCTGATGTAAGCAGCTGCAGAGTTGTGAACAAGTACCTAAAACCTCTAGAGGTGGCTTTCTGCCAACAAATTTGCTGCTGGTTCCCACTGGAACCAATCAAACCCAAACACTTGATTGGAGAAGGAGGGGGGGAATGGGGAAGAGGGAAGATGGGGGAAACTTTCAAACAATTAAACAAGTGCTATTTCTAAATATAACTTTCAGTCATTTTTTAAAAAGCAGTATTAACCTCTGGATGATCCAGCAATCTGAACTCTTTTGAATGTCAAAGGGACTTTTATAGCTTAAAATTCCTAAAAACCTAAGTCACTTAAAATTTTTAAAAACTTTTTGTTAAATATAAATATTGAAGCTTTACTTTTGAAAGTAAAGCCTCGAAACAAGAGCAGACTAGCTATTTCCCCATGTTGTTGTTGTTCAGTTGTGTCCGACTCTTTGTGATCCTATTTGGGGTTTTCTTGGCAAAGATATTGGAGCAGTTTGACATTTCCTTCTCCAGCTCATTTGACAGAATAAGGAAACTGAGGCAAATAGGGATAAGTGACTTGCCCAGGGTCACAGAGCTAGTGCCTGAGACCACATCTAAACTCAGATTTTCCTGACTCCAGGACTAGCACTCTAGCCACAGTGCCACCGAGGTGCTTAGATTTCCCCAGGAAAATGTTTTTCTAAACTACCATGTTCCCCCTGCACTTTTTTTCCCTTCTCCCTTTTTACCTTACCTACAGTCTTTTCTCTCTTCCTCCCATTCCCTCTCTCCATACTGACCATAATATAGCAATATGGTGCATTTCTTATTACAGAATTTCCAAGAATGTTAGAGCTGGAAGGGATCCTCAAAAACCACCTAGTTCAAACCCTTACTTTATAAAGAAAGAAAGAGATTTACCTTAGGTCATATGTAGACCTGGGGGCATCCCTAGCACTAGAACCCATGTCTCCTGATTCTCCAGGCCACAGCTCTTTTGACTTTGCAAAGCTATTTTTAGTGACTAAAAGTGTGTGTTCTTAATTCTTAGAATACATCAGTGAATAAACGAGTTACTGGATAAAAAGCACTTTGTAAGGAGAAGGGGCTATAGATGATGTATGAGCTATTCATAATTTCTGCCACTAAAACCATCGAATTGCTTCCTGGATTCCTGCTTCAGGCCAAGGTTTAATCAGCCCTGCCACGCCCATCCCAGGCTAAGGCACAGCTCACCTGTGAGAATGTTCTTAAAGGCTTCTTCCACATTGGTTGAATCCAACGCAGATGTCTCAATAAAAGACAAATTGTTTTTCTCTGAAACAAAGAGAAGGTAATTCTAGTTAGTGCCTGTGAACATCCTAACATCCTCCCTTCCTTACCATGACCTCTTAGTGAATTAGTTCAGTTTTACACAATCCCCTGATGCCAATTCTGCCCTCTAACCCCAACCTTGGCTTGCTCACAGCATGACGGCCTTTGCTCTGCATGGCACTGGAAGAAATCACAAACTGGGAGCACCACAAATTTATGTTATATAAGCTCACCTGGGCCCTCATTGTTGGAAGGCAATGCTTTTCTATCCATTTGTTGTTCCACTCATGACTGTGGCTATTCCAGACCCTCTCCTTCTGGAGCACCACTTTCTCCCCACCTTCTTATCTGAGAACCTTGACTCATACTTCCCTGAAAAAACTGAGGCCATTTGTTAAGAGATCCCTCTTTCCCCCTACTCCTTATTCAGACATCTCCTGTGTCTTCCTTCACCCCTCTCTCACACCAAGAAGTGGACTTTCTCCTTCCCAAGGCACACCCCTTTCCATGCACCCTTGACTGCATCATCTTCTGTTTTCTCCAACAGACTGCTCACTCTATCGTCTCCATTTTCTCTATAATATTCAATCTCCATCTACTGGCTCCTGTTCTGCTGCCTACAAACATGCCTATATCTTCCCCATCCTTAAAAACCCCTCATTGATCCTACCATGCCAGCTACTGCCCTATAATTCTCTTCATCTTTTCCACTAAACTCCTTGAGAAAGCTGTCTACAATTAGTTGCTTCTACGCTTGTTTACTTCTAAATCTTCTGCAATCTTGCTTCCAATCTCATCATTCAGTTGAAATTGCTCTCTCCAAAGTCATCAATGATTATTTAATTGCCAAAACTTATTCTAATCACAATCTGAATACCTTCTTTACTCAGCCACAGCACCTGACACTGTTGATCTCCCTCTCTTTCCTATCCAGATTTTCATGACACTGCTTTTTCCTGGTTCTCCCATCTGACAGTTCCTTTTCATTCTCCTTTGCTGGATCTTCCTCCAGGACATTCCCACTAACCACAGGTGTCCTCAAAGGGTCTGTCCCGAACCCTCTTCTCTTCTCCCTCTTCATTATCTTGCTTGGTGATCTCATCAGCTCCCACGGGTTCAAATGGCACCTTTATACAGATAATTCCCAGATCTATTTGTCTAGCCCTTACCTCTTTACTAACCCTAGTCCTCCATTATCAACTGCCTTCTGGACATCTCAGAGGCATCTCAAACTCGAGATCCTGAAAAACACAACTCATCTTTCCCCAAAATCTTCCTAGCTTTCCTATTACTTTCTAAGGAACCACTATTCATAACTCAGGCTCCCAACCTCCATGTCATCCTTGGTACAGCTTTACAAGTTGACAAAGCATCTTACATTCATTATCTCATTTGAACCTCATAAGATATCTGTGAGGTGAATACGAGATATTATCCCCATTTTACAGTTGAAGAAAAATGCTTAAATAACTTTGTACAGGGTATCCCAGAGTATCTGAGGTGGGACTTCACTCCAAGTGTGACTGACTACGAAGTCCACTATGCCAGGAAAAATGTCCTGATCAAGATTTATCAAATCTCAGAGGCGGGGCCGAGATGGTGGAGTAAAGGCAGGGACTTGCCTGAGCTCTTCCCCAAACCCCTGCAAATATCTTTTAAAAATAACTCCAAACAAATTCTAGAGCAGCAGAACTGACAAAAAGACGGAGTGAAACAAATTTCCAGCCCAGGACAACTTGGAAGTTCAGCAGGAAAGGTCTGTTACACCAAGGTGAGAAAGGAGCACAGTCTAGGGCATTCCATGCCAGCACTGCCCTGGCCCCAGCAAACCAGGATCAGGCCTTGAGAGTGAATGAATCAGCAGCAGCCGTGGCTGCTTCCAGAGCTCTTGGCCCACAAATGGTGAAGGGGCTGAACAACTGGTCAGAAGATTGTAGGGGTCTTTTTGCTAGCACTGAGGCAGGACTCGATTGCTTTGCCCATACGTGGACTGGGTCCTGGGTGGCAGTTCCAGGGCAAGGAGGAGCACTAGCATAGCACAGCTTTCAGCAGCAGTGGAGGGGGGACCCTCCTCTCAGTTCCAGGGCAGAAAAGAATGCTTGTCATCAGTCATGGACCAGAGCATGGGCCAGTAGAGTAGTAAACACCTCTCCTTAGATCATACCTCCTTGGAAGAACTGAAAACTTACAGGTCCCTAGAAGTATCTCTGAAAACAGCTGCACAACACTCCTGAAGCTTGGGACAGTGTGCCCTCCACCCTGGGCGCACCTTAACAAAGAGTTAAAAATCAACTAACAGGCTGGGAAAATGAGCAAATAATGGGGAAAAAAAAAGATTTATCAAATCTCTACAAGTTGGATATTTTCTCCTAAAATAAACTGCATTACTTCCAAGTATGAAACTTCCAAATGCATGTGAATGCTGAACACAAAGGTACAAATACTTCCCTACTGGCACGTTTCAGTGATTACAATTTAACTGAAGGCCCCATTTTACCACCATGTTCCCTCAAGTATCTCCTGAAGGACTTTAGACAGCTGTTCCTCTCCCTATTTCTGTTCAGCTTCTTCTGTACACGTTCCATAAAATCTCTAATGTCGTCACTACCAGTCATTGTTATTAAGCACACCTCCAGCTAGGTTTTTCTGGATCTGTAACCATCCTATCAGTCTCCTCTGTAGAAGGCCCATGTGTTCCACGAATGCTACTGGATGTGGCACAGAACTTTCCCCACTTTTTTTTAGTTGTTCGTAGTTTCCATATCTGATTTAATCTACATGGCTGACCAATGAGCCTAAGGTAAGTGGGCAGGTGCAGAAAGTGAAAAGCTTACATCTAGGTTCTTCCTTGTCTCCTCTCTTTCTGCATCCTCAGCACTCACTCCCAGGAGCTTTACTCTTTTGGAGTCTTGCCCTTTTACAATGCATCCCCTTTTCCTTTCTTCAGTTTGCAGACCCCATTCCTAAAGAGCCTTTGTAGACTCCCAGGCCACGGCAGCTACTGACCTCTCTTCTCTTCCTCCCCAGTCTTCTGATGACTTATCTTTGGAGATTTCTTCCTTTTATGAGCTCGGTCTCCCCTCTGCTTCTGGGCAGCTAGGCTGTTTCTCCTTCTTGTACTGCAGTCTCTCCTCATGGGCTTTGTACTGCACTGAAGATCTCTCTCCTCCTCTACTGGCTTCTGGCCACATTATAAATGTTTGTTGACTGACTTACTAATTGACTCTGGAGTCCCTAAATACTGTGTTTACCTTTAGGACCCAAAAAACCTACAAGGCTGTCTCTTACTCTCACAGTGAATACAGGAGCTTCCAATGTATGTGAATTTATATGGGTCAATATATTTACATGCATTTCTAGCAACACATACATTTGTCCATATGTGTGTGTGTGTGTGTATGTGTGTGCATATATATATGTGTATGTTATACACACACACACACACACATATCTTTGGAAGGGCAGTTTGGCACAGTGGACAGGCTCGGAGTTAGGAAAATCTGAATTCAAGTCCTGCCACTCACATGTATTAGATGTGTCACTGTAACAAGACCCTTACCTTCAGTGACCTAGACAAATCTCTAATAATACAAGTTGCAGAGTACGGCTGATCTGCATTGGTGGAAGGAATTTTACCAGGAGTTCTGTATATCATTGAAATCTCAGGCCTAGTTAGTTTTTTTTTTTTAAACACACATCTATGCATATGTTGTGATTTATGGGGAGTAACCACCCTTTCTGAAAGTCTTCCTATAATGACTCACTGCTTATGGAATAGAGGTGACCCTGGCATCCCAAAAGTTCTGTCAGTGGGTGAGAAGGTCTGGCAGCTCCCAACCACACTGAAGAAGCTCCCACGACAAGCCCCGGGGGTGTATAGGGATATGGGTTGAGGACCAAAACAGTTAAGTATAGAGAGGCTCAATACCATCTTGTCCTCAGAGTGATGAATTTTTCAATCATAGAAACTTTTTAAGACTAAGTCCTGAAGGGGTTTTGACCTGCATCAATAGGGATTATCCACCTGCACTAATGTAATTACACAACACTTCAGTAAGCACACGTAAATATGTATGTCTGTATATTGTAAAGTGAGACTCATTAATATATAACCAATAACTATTATCCAGAGAGCCCTACTATATAATAACAATATGTGGGAAATGGGAATCTATAAGCAAAGTAGTTCTCAGTATGGAAATCTTTGCTTGATAAAGAAACTTATTACTGCTCCTTTAATTGGGAGTCAACTGTTTAAATATCTCAACTATGATTCAATCTTCTCCTCTCTCCTTTCTCTTCCCTACTGACAGGGTAGATAACTCCCCATGGAAAAGCTCTGACCTACAACCATCACCGAATGCAAACTCAACAACCTCTTAGCAGACAAGATGGGAGGTTTTGCCAAGTCCACATACTTGAGGAAAACTGCATGTGGGACAAAGAGTGTAAGATAGGTACAAACTCAGAACTTAGGGTGAGTTAGAGGGTATTGTTGGCCCTGCTCTGGAAGCTAAAAGCACTTTCAGCAAAGCCACTATTAAAAAATTACCAGCCATTCAAGAGAAGACAAAGTTAATGGGAAACTAGGATTTAGTCTATGAAGAATTATTTAGAACTGTGTCAAGAAAGGTATACATTTACATGGCTCTGAGGAAAAAAGAAAGCTTGACCTTCAACACATAGAGACTGATACCTTTATATTAAAATTTAACCCAGAGCTCATATGACTAACACATACACTTAGCTGAGTTTTTCGACTCAAAAGTATTTATGCTCCCTAATAGGTACAAGATTCTTTTGGGCAAAGGGAAAACTTTTTTTTTCAAGGGTAAAGCTTCTCATAAATAGACCAGTTTTACTATCTTTTACATTATGGAAAAATAGAAGAGGAAGGTCTGAAATACAAGGCACAGTGGAGAGAGCACAGAATTAGGGATGAGAGAGCCTGGATTTGATTCTAGCCCCGACACCTATCAGCTCTGTGATTATAGACAAGTCACAACCTCTGTGAGCACTAGTTTCCTCATACATCAAATGGGAATAATTATAACTGTACTATCTACCCTCACAGGGTTATTGTGAGGCAAGTGCTTTGTAAATCTTAAAACACTCTAGATCAAAGAATTATTATCTTGCCCTGCTATTGTATAATAAGTTACAAGATGACAGAGACTGAGTCATGTTTAATCTTCCCATTCAGATACCTAGTACAGGGTCTTGCACAGCAGCACAGGATTAAGGAATTATTTGTTGAATTGAGTTGAAGGCACTGAGCTTAATCCCAGGGCAGGGCAGAGAAAGCTTCCAGATTCAAGTTCCCTACCTTCTGGAACGCCCCCAGACCAAGGCCACCCACCTGCAAATGCCCGGGCCTCATCAGTAGGCACGGCACGGAGGTGGCGCAGGTCACTCTTGTTCCCCACCAACATGATCACAATGTTGTTGTCAGCATGGTCACGGAGTTCTTTCAGCCAACGTTCCACATTCTCATATGTCAGGTGCTTGGCAATATCATAGACCAACAGGGCTCCCACAGCCCCTCGGTAGTACCTGAGAAAAGATTAGCAGGACGTGAATTTGGCCAAGTAACCACACTGCCTACTCCAGTCTGGTTTTTGCTTCAAGCTATATTCTAGCACCATGTGTTCTTTAAAAACCAGAGATTAAAGCAAAACCCAGAAACCTCACCAGGAACTACCTTACCAAGGGCTGCCTGAAACCAATGATCGCAGAGCTTCAAATATGCCCCATAAAAGTAAGGTCTTTCTCATGCTTCCTGGTACCATTCCACCAAGGTCCCCAGAGTCCTCACCCACCCAAGACTACTTCCTTTGACAAGTACGCCATACTATAATGCTATTTTCTCCCACATCTTTGTTCTCACATGGAATTTTACTCATCAGGCACATACAGAATCATAGAATCTGAGCTGGACATGACTTCAGAGCTCATCTAGTCCAACACATACTAGAAGAGAAATCTCTACCAACTGCAGCCCTAACCTGGGAGCCAGGAACACCAGGTTCTATTTCTAGCTACGTCCCACCTCATTGTCTGTTCTCCCTCTCTGGACCTCAGTTTCCTCCTCTGTGAAGTGCTAATTCAGCCTCTACTTAAAGACTATCAAAGAAAAAGAATGCACTCCCAGCCCTCTCCTAACTATGCCTTTACTTCTCAGCCTGTTGCAATCTGACTTCCAATTGCCCTACCACCCATGTGAAATTGCATTTACCAAGGGTGCACCAATGACTTACCAACTACTAAATCCAACAAGCTGTTCTCAGGCCTCAGCCTTCAGGACAACTCTGCAGCATTTGACACTGCTCACCACCCCCTCCTCCAAGGCAAATTTTCCTCTTTGGGTTTTTTGGGACGCTGCATTTTCCTGGTTCTTCTACCAGACTGACCTTTCCTTCTCGGTGTCCTGTGATTATCATTCATGTCCCACCCTCAAAGTATGATTATACTTCAGGACCCAATCCGAGGCCCTCCTCTCATCTCTCTGGATAGTCTGTGCTCTCATCAGTTTCCATGGGTTAAATTATTCTCTTCAAGCAGATTACTACCAAGTCTATGTAGACTGAGCCGCAATCACATATCACCACTTGCTAGCCTCCCAGACATTTCTACCTGGATATCCCAAAGGGATCTCAAACTCAACAGTTTCTAAACAGAACTTGTGATCTTCTCCTAAGACCTACCCTACTTCCTAATTTCCCTATTTCTATGGAGGATCCTCCCTGTTCACATCCTGGGATTCTTCACTCTCCCTCACTCCCCATATTTAATCATTTACCAAATCCTATCATCTTTCACATCTGCCCCACCTCTTCACTTCCATATCCACCAGTCTATTTCTTTTTTTTTTTCCAATTCAACATGCATTTATTAAATAACAACTATGTACGAGCCATGGTGCTAAGTATCTGGGACTTAAAGATACAAAAAACTAGATAGTTCTTGCCCTCGGGACATTTACATTCTACCAAGGAGGGAATGGTAACACAGATAATGATACTGCAGAAAACCTGGACTCTGAAAGTTGTCAAGGTTTTGGGAAGCTAGTAAACATCAGGCAGAAATCAGCAAAAGAACCTTGAGAAGCAGTGGAAGCTAATTACCTGAGCTTAGAAATACATGATTGTTTACTTCCCTAAGGATATAGCCATAGGTTATGTCTGCTCTGGTCAAGAACTGGGAGCTGGCTCCATTCCTCAGAAAACAACCACTTAGCAGTAGATTCTTAGATGCAGAGCTTTGAGAGATCTCAGGGACCACTTGCTTCATCATGTAGATGAAAAAATTGAGGCCCGGGGGGGTCACAAAAGTAAATGTCAGAGGGGGAATGTGAACATACCACCAGTCTATTTCTAACCCTCATTATCTGTCACATGGTCATGCTTTACAACTGGTCCCTGCCTCTAGTCTTCCTCACCTCTCCAATCCCTCCTCCACACAAACTATATCAAATTGGTATTCCACTGCCTTGCTCAAGAAGTGTCAGGGTTCTCCATTCTCTTTGGAATCAAATACATCCCCTTCTGTGAGGCATCTGAGACCTTCCCAAGCTGGCTCTAACCTAGCTTTCTGGACTAATTTCACATTACTCCTCCTTGCATGCATTATCACACAATCAGCTTCTGACCTACTTGCTGTTTTCCAGATACAAACTTCCATCTCCCACCATCTCCCATGTCTTTGCGCAGGTCATCCCCTATTTGAAATATTCTCTCCTTCTATGACTTGTAGAATCTTTAACTTCTTTCAAAGCACAATTCAGGTGCCAAGTCCTACATGTGGCCTTTTCTAATCTCCCTAGTTTAATATTCTCCTCTTCACCCAGTGAAATTATTTTACTCTGCATATATTTGGCATACCCTTATCCCTTTCCCTCACATCTCAAATGTGGTCAGTCATATATTCAGTCTATAGGAAATCACAGGTCTTGTGGCCAATGAGGGAATTACTCTACATCCCCCAGCCCCACCCGCCAAACCTCCCAAGTCTCCTAACTCAGTGCTCATCTACAGCCAGGCAAAAGAATGGATCCCTTCCAAACTGGGGAACTGATATTTAGATATGAACATCACTGAAGCTCAAGCCGCAATGTGGGTCTATATTTCCAACAGTAATTCAGAATCACAGTGAGGAAAGAAGATTGGCTTAGGGATCTCAAAAACTATTTCCTAGTCTCAGTTTCATTCACATTTTATTAGTCATATGACCTTTGACAAGTCACTTATCTTTTCTAAGGCTCAAGTGTCCACACCTATAAATTAGGGAAAATATTACCTGTTGTGTCTACGTCATAAGTGTCATCAAAATCAAATGAAGGCCTTTTGTAACTCTAAGGAGCTACTCAGATGTATGGCAATCACAATAATAATGGTAATAAGATTAAATGACACATCCCTGGCATAACAGCTCCAGTAGCTCTATGCTTATCAAACTGGGGATGCTGCCTGGATAACTGGCCTGCAGGCCAGGCAAGAATTTCAAGGACATCAGGTCAGTCCTTCCCTCTTGCAGAGGTAGAAGTATTGAGGACAGGGCCCTCACATAGGAGTGGGATATTAAAAACTGGGGTCTGGACTTTCATTCAGGAATACCTACTATTATCTAGGAAGTGATCCTTTGACAGCAAGCACATATTCAAAAAGGAAAGAAATAAGGTGCACAGATGGGGGGATTAGCTTCTTACTATTAGCAGGGATTCTCTATAAAAATTCTGTCCTGGTGTTTTGCTTCAAAATGACCTGGTCTGTCCTGCTGAAGGGAAGATTCAATCAAGAGTTTCCTTTCTCTCAAAAAGGACCAAGATTTCTCTAGTCCAGCAACAACATTATAGTCCTCAGCAGACAGGGCTTTCCAAGTACCCTCTTATTAAGAATGTGTCATCAGGGTCTCTGGCCTTTATCTTCACTCAGGAGCAAAAGGAAGGCGTCCTTTATCTACTGCAGAAGAGGAGAAGTCCAAAAAGAGACTGGAAAAGATCTTTACAGTCTGGAATGGACAGAATCTAGATAATGAATTATAACAGTAATAAATGTGAAGTTAGGTTTAAAAAAATGAGCTGACAAAAATAAAAGATATGGGTAGAGTGGCCAAACAATAGGTCATATAAAAGAACTGGCAGTCTTACTGGACTGCAAGTTCAATTTGAGCCAAAAGTGCTGGTTAACATTGTTGGCCAAAACAGAAATGTGATCTTAGGCTGAATTAAAATATTTACAGTGTTCAAATCAAAGAAGATAACAGTTCTACTATACTCTATAAATATCCCTCTTAGGACGAGATATACAACAGAACCAAAACAGAGAAGGGCAACCAGGCTGAGGAAGGGACACTGTCATAGGAAGATTAAAGAAGATTTGGAAGCAAAGGCACAATTGTGATCTTCAATCGCCTGATTGATTATCATGAGCAAAGAGGACACAACTGGGACCACTGGTGGGAGTAGTGGAGAAAAGGCAGAGAAAATATGGAGAGATAGACTTTGGCTCAATATAAAAAGCATTCTAACAATGAAAAGTGGTCCCTAAGGGAACAGATGCCTTGTAAGGTTCTACTATAGGTATTCCAGCAGAGGCCAGACCTGTCAGAAATGCTGTAGATGGGATTCCTAAATTGGATGGATGGATGGATTAGGTGATCCTCAGGGACCTATGACCTTCGATAAAGTCCCACTGACACCTATACTCCTTGTGCAATGGGACCAAAAGTAAGGGAACCCATTCTTCTCACTTCTTACCAAAAGTAAGCCAGGTGTGAATATAAAAAGGTAAGAAATCTAGTAGTGCTCAGAAAATGGGCAAAAGTGTGACTCAATTTCTTTCAATCATTAATCAGAAAACAGAAAGAAGGCAGAAACATGACCCAAGCCTATCTACCCAGAATGCTGAGGAGGCAATTCTCACTGTGTGGGAGGCAGGATGAGATGAGATGACCTTAAGGAAGGTCCCTACCAGTTTTGAGAACCTATTATCTCTGCTCCCTCCTCTGTACTCTTCTAATAGTCTGTCTCAGTCATCTAGTGTTTGGATCACATTCTGCTTTACAATGTCGTTACTTAGTATAGACCTTACCTCCCTTTCTAGATGTTAAGAGTAAAAACGCCTTGGTGCTGAATGGCATTTTATGACTTAGTACTTCCATGCACCCTGTACCTCATCTGATCCTTTACAACCATGAAGATGTCTACTTCAGTCCCTTGATGCCAGAGTGTCATGTGCTGGTGACCCCAGATTCTCAAAGGATATATCTGAGAAAAGCAAGCTCTGGCAGGTCCAACCAAGCTGAGAAAAACTTCGGAGTTCTGATCTCTATGTCCAATGTCTGAGAGGCAGCCTCAACAAAGTAAATTAAACAAACATATACTAAGTGGAGTTTTTTTTTGGGGGGGGGGAAGAGGTGGAAAGGAGATGTATGAAAACAATTATGGTCCAAAGCAGAGAATGAAAAAGTGCATAACAGTACAAACTAAGTGCCTGTGAGGCCATCTGGTTATCTCTGGGAAATTCATCCTCTTGGTGCCAGTCTACAAATGTATTTTTTAACCTGGAGAATTTGTAAATTAGAATTTTGTGGTTTAACTAGGCATAATGAGGAAAATATTATTGTTATTTTTGGTGAGGAAAAACAATTTTTGTATAGTTTATCTCATTCTGAATAAAATGTGAATTTTTCTGAAACAAAAAAAGTATTTTTAGAAAAGATGCTCATTCTGTTATCTTTCTTATTAGTTATGCCTTCCAGTTGAAAATTTGGTTAATTAAGTTTTCCATCTGTGTTTTTACCTAATAACTGATAAAAAAAATTTACAAAGAGCAGTGTCAAGCACCAGGCCCTATGGCAGCAGCCAACAGAGACCTCCTTCCAGGTGGATGTCAATCTAATCATTTAATCAGTTCTGAACCCACCTCACATTTTCCCCTTTTGGCCACAAGGATATTCTTTTTTTGTGGGGGGGGGGGGGCAATTGGGGTTAAGTGACCTGCCCAGGGTTACACAGCTAGTTAAGTGTCAAGTGTTTGGTCTGAGGTCACATTTGAACTCAGGTCCTCCTGACTTCAGGGCTGGTGCTCTATCCACTGTGCCACTAGCTGTTCCTAACAAGGATATTCTGAGAGGCACTGACCGTCAGATGCTGAAACCTCTTTGCTAGAAAAAGATGAATGCAACCCAGGGGCTAGACAGGTCTACACTTCTTCCTCTTTGGAGGGCATTGGTCATTCTTTTGCCTGCTTCATTCAGCCTCAATGATCCTCATCAATTGTGGCTTTCTTTTGCTTCACCTTGAATCCCACTACCTCAAACATGGCATTATCAGAGACAGCCAATAAATCCTGTCACTGAGCATGTTATAAAATGATCTCATGTATAACAATTAAAAGGGAAGATGGACTCAAAACCCAATGGAGAAACACACTGAACTCCCAAAAGGAAGGAATTCCACTAGGGAGGTCACTTCTTGGCTGTCAGGGTCACTAGACTGTAGGAACTACAGGACTGATAGCAATTATCGAATGTTGATGAACTTGTGACCCCCTGAAGAGAAGCTACTACTCTAGACAACAGAAGGTGACTTACATTTAAAATTCCCTAGCTGGAAAAATCTCAAATTCAGTATGGATTACATATTTCCATTCTGCATTGACTCTGTGATCTCTTGGCTATGGGGTGGGTACTCCCTCTACTTGTATGGAGTGTAGCACTTCATGACTTCCCAGCCCACACAATTCTCGTCCAAGTGCTCCACAGGGGATCTGCCCTTATGTACCAGAGGTTTTCCTCCATATTTTTTAACATTTCAGAGATAACAGTGGAATGCCTGGGCTGTGATCTGCTATTCCTCAGTCTCTACACTACCAGCCCACCTCATTTTCCAGCTATACATGTCCTTGATGATGTCTGTTTATGTAAACAACATATATGTTTAGGTTACTTAAAGATTAATACCAATATGAGGCAACCTAGTGTGTTTATGTTCCTATAAAACCACTTTGTATAGAAACACTGATGGAAAATACAGAAGGAGCTAATTATAAATGACTGCATGAAAACCATTTAGAAGTGTCTCCAGTTCCCAGTGACTTGGAAAATATGATAACAGCAATTCTTCCCTACCAGTTTCCTCCTCGTGTCTACAAGGAGAGCTGAGAAGAAGCTCTTCCAGAAGTCTCTATGGAATGTTGTTCTGGTGGACCACTTCAGCCTGCTGGCTGGAAGGAGCCCTTGGACAGACTGAGCCTACAGAAATGCAAACAAACTCTGGCATCTTCCTTGCTAAACCCAAATCTTGCTTTCACTGGGAAAGAAACACTTTTGGAGAAACTATCTAGAAACGAACAAGCTAAGGAATGAAATGCAGCTTGACGCAGGCAGCATTTTGTGTCTGAGCAGGCTGAACTTACGCTGATGTGATTGCTCGGTACCGCTCCTGACCAGCTGTGTCCCAGATCTGGGCTTTTATAGTCTTCCCATCCACCTGGATGCTCCTGGTAGCAAACTCCACACCGATGGTACTCTTACTCTCCAAATTGAATTCGTTTCGAGTGAATCGTGAAAGGAGGTTGCTCTTCCCCACCCCAGAGTCACCAATCAGCACAACTGAAAAAGGAACAGAATATTCTGTAAACTTAGAATCATTTCAGGGCCTAAGTCCCTGCCTCTAAGAACAGGGTGCTTTCCACTAAACCCTATAGATTCTATTTGAAAAATGTAGCCAGGGAATTAACCAGCCACATTCTAATTGTCACCTAGGACCATCTCAGCTAGGGACCAGTGAAGCAAAATTCTTTTCCTCCCCCGAGCACAGACATCCTAGGTTAATATCACCAGCCCAAGATACCTCAGGGGTATTTTGTGAGGAGAATTAAACCAGCTGATAGATGAGAAAGGATGGTAACATGGTGAAATAAGAAACTCCTGAACAAGGAGAGCTGAACTCTGTTTCTGGCTTTACTAATTTACTGTGCAACCAACTCTGGGCAAGTTTCTTCCCTGCTCTGGGTCTGTTTCCTAACCTGTAAATATGAGGTAATAGGACTAAAGAGATATTCTCTAGCTAGGCCATTCTCTATTTTAAGGGCGTGGGAGGTAAAATGTATGTAAGGTGACTTGCAAGCCTTAAAACACTGGGTAGGTATCAGCCATGCCGCTGCTGCAGGTCCTTTCCCGAGGTTCCCTGATTCTTTCCAGTTCTGCAGGTAAGGCATAAAAAGGCATAAAATCTATGCTACCAGCACACTTGAGATTTTTGAGCACAAATACCTTGGAAAAGAATTCTTTTTCTTTAACCTAAGAATTCCATCCAGACTGCTAGCTCCTCCTGGGCCTACCCCCCATCCTTAGGTCTTCCACTACCTCATTCATAGGCATCCCCTCCCTTTCACTCAATCCCACCCTCAATACACATAGAAGAAAATAGATTCATGTATTTAAGAAGAAAAATCATCCCAAGCAGCTTCTTGAGTGAATCTCTGCAACAGGCAACATCAGGAGTGTCTCAGAAAGCAAGGCAAGTGAGTAAAACTTACTCCAGACCTTATCTAGGCAGGTTGGATTTTACTTATCTGCTTTTAAAGAACAAAATCTCCCTATGGTAGAAACAGATAGTAACAAAGAAAAACTGACATAGAATCAGAGTTTTTGAGCTGAAATGGATCGGCAGAAATATATATTCCAACTCCCGATTTTACAAAATGAGGAAAGGCCCTGAAAACGGAAGGAACTTGTCCACAGTCCAAAGTAAGTCAGTGGCAGCACCCAAACTGGCACCCCAGTCCAGGATCCTTGTGCAGTGAAGTGACCCTCTGGCATCAAACTGGTTCTTGAGGTCCAAGGTCTTGCTAAGTCAACTTGTAGGATAGAGGGGACATGAACTGATTTTTAATCAGTTTTTTAAAAATAGTACATCTAGCACAATTAATTCTGGGAATTATAAAATTCTCCCTCTCAAGTGAAATGCCATACTTTCTGCAAGTAACTAGCCTAAAAGCCCCAGGGAACACTGAGGAGGAGATCTAAGTCACCGCCCCTTATCAAATTGTTCTTCCTTGGAGCCTTTGAAAACTAGCTTTTATACATCTAGGACCCAAGCTGGGCTCAGTTTCCCTGCAGTGGCTCCTCAGAGATTTTGGGGCTGTCTCTACTCGTATCTGAAGAGCCTTGGGTGAAGTCTGGGATGCTATCAAATCCTGGTCTCACAGAATCTATCTTCAAACAAGACCACCTTCTTTTTCAATAAACTAAATGTGAAAGACATAGCAATGATGATTCTTTATTGTCTCATCTCTTGCTGCCATAGAATGGTTAGACTTAGAGTTAAAAAGAATTTCAACCCAAATGACTCCGGGAGGAGAAAGTGAGGCTGGTGGCTTTGCACAGCCCTCCCTCACTTAAATTCAATTCACTTGCATGTTATAGCATCATCTTCCTGAATTCATGGTCCTCTTTGAGAAGGAAGGACAAACAACAACAAAAACAACTTTCCCTATCCAAGAGATACTCATTTTAATATAGCCTACCTTTAATCACGTTAACCAATTCAATTTGATTGTTGTTTGATGGACCACCTACTGCACTGAAGGGTATATAAAGTATAAGTCCACCACCATAATTGTCTCTGGTCTAAGCCAAATCACCATCCTTTTATTAATAACCTGCTGGCCTTATTAATAAAATGATTAAGGGCAGCTAGGTGGCGCAGTGGATAGAGCACCAGCCCTGAAGTCAGGAGGACCTGAGTTGGAATCCGGTCTCAGACCAAACACTTGACACTTACTACTGTGTGACCCTGGGCAAGTTGCTTAACCCCAATTGCCTAAAAAAAAAAAAATAAATAAAATAAAATAAAATGATCACTCAGAAAAAAATAGAATGTCAATTTAACAGCTGTATAGAGGGATGGATTAGAGAGGGGAGAGACTTTAAGAAGGAAGAAAACAAGCATTTGTTAAGTGCCTAATATGTGTCAGGCACTGTGCTAAGCACTTTACAAATCTCACATTTGATCTTGGGAGGTGGAAGCTCTTATGATGAAATTGGGGCAAAGAGTGGTAAAGTGACTTGTCCAGTGTCATACAGCTAGGCTTTAACTGAGACTAAAATGGAATTCAGGTCTTTCTGACTCCAGGCCTGGCACCCTATTCACTGCGCCACCTAGCTGCCTCTTTAGGGTGAAGGCTATTGCAATAGTCCAGAGGGACCTCATCTCTAAGTACCTAAAGTTTTAGAGTTTCTTGGGGGCACTGAGAGGCTTAGTGACTCATAATAGTACTTCAAATCAAGAAGTACTCTTTGCTATTTACTAAATACTTATTATGAGTATGCTAACTGCTGAGAATAAAAATGCAAATGAAAATTAAGGATCCTGCCCACAAGGATCTTACATTTTAATGGGAGAAGGCAACATATAAAAGAAAGCTGAAAAAAAGGTTGAGGGAGGAGGAGAAGATGAAGGTACCCTACTACCAGGGCATGGTAGAGAAAGACCAGAGAGTTAGGAATACAGCCTGGAAAGGAATGAAGACATGGCTGGTCTGATGTCATCCTCCTTAAAATAGGGGCTCTGAGAGGAATCTGTCAATCAGAGGGAAAGGCCACAGGGCAGAGGGTATTTCTAGTGTGAGAAACCCAAGGGTGAAGCAAACTTCCAGGATGAAAAGGTTTCTGAGACATGGCATAGAAAGTCTGGAGAGTGTACACGTATTATGATCCTCATTTTACAGATGAGATAATAGAGCACAGGACCTGGCATCAGGAAAACCTTAGTTCAAATCTAGACTCAAACACTTAGTAGCTGTGTCACTTAACCTTTCTCAGCCTCAATTTCTTCATCTGTAAAGTGGGAATAATAATAGTCCCTACCTCCCATGGCTGTTGTGAGAATCAAAGGAGATATTTATAGGGTGTTTTGCAAACCTTAAAGTGCCACATAAATGTTATCTATTATAGATATTATTATTCTTGTTGACTTTCCTTGCTCAAGACCACACAGCTAAAAAGAGAGCTGAGATTCAAACTCTAAGTCTTAATTATATTGCTTGAAACCACCAATACCTCAGTCACGCATGGTTAAAACATGAGTCACCTTTGCTGGTGGCGGTCCCCACACTCCATCAGTCACAAAGTCTTTTCAATTCTACCTTCAACGGTTCTTCCCAAAGTATCATCTTCCCATTCCCACTGTAGTCACCCTACTCTAGGTCCCTCATTACCTCATTCTCGGGCCATTGCAATAAATCCCCATGGGTCTCCCTGCCTCCAGTCCACCCTGCCAGGGTAATATTCCTAACACAAGGTCTCAGCAAAATGGTACTCTACTGCCCCACTGCCTACTGAATGAAGTCCAAACTTCTTTGCCTGGCCTTCAAAACCCTCTGCAACCTGGCTCCAGTCAACATTCCCAGTTTCATCTCACACTATTTGCCTTCACATAATCTACATTAGAGCCAAACTGGACTCTTTGCCAAAGCCCTTCCACTGTACCAGCCAACATCCTATTGAAATGCATATCCTTCAAGATTCAGCTGAGCTGTTATCTCTTCCACAAAGCATTCCCCCATCCTTTGTCCTCTTCACACCTTGCCCAGAAAGGTTCTTTCCCTCCTAGAATTTCTCACTCTACTTTCTTTGTCTGTACTTTCATGCAATCATCACTTTCAAATGTCTGTTATAGCAATAATAACGGATTAAATGCCTCAGGTACATTATCAAATCTGATGCTTACAACACCCCTATAAACTTGGTGATAGTACTGATATTATCACAGAAGTTAACAAACATCAGCACCCACTATGGGCCAGGTATACATACACTTAAACCCTAATTTCACAAAGCCTTAATGAAAGGTTCAACAAAAGTGCCAACTAAAACCTTTGGGAAACTCCTGACCTGGAGCAACCCAAGTTGCAGCAGATTGTTGTTCAGATGCTGGCTTAGGGCACTGTGCAGTGGAAAAACGGAACTCATCTGCAATAGATTCATTTTGCCATACTGGGAGCCTGCCCTTCGCAAATTCTACATGCTTCCACAGTAGGCAATCCTTATGGCCAAACCCAACAACAGAAACTATAAGTACCCCCAATCACTGGAACAGCTTTGAGCTTGTTGACCCTGGTTATTATGTGATAAGAGTAATAGAGTAACATATAATAAGTCTATGGACTACCTAAGGCTAATGCAATATAGTTTTCTAAAAGATACACATATTCACACGGAATTCTTCTCTTTGGAAGTTCTATTGTTTTCTGCCTACTCTGGAAAAAGCTAAAATTAATTAGCTCAAATACTTGGGGACTAGTTAATCAATTTTCTAGTGAATACTCAGCTGAGAGTTCACCAAAAATCCTTTTAAATTTAAATTTTTTTAACAGTCTTTCTAAATTGTCTGAATCTCTCTTCTTGCTATAGTCAGGCCAGGATACTGAACTGAGCTAGAGTTACGATACTGAGGAAAGCCCATGGGATTTTTAATTAAAAAACAATGGAGTTAGAGTGTTGGCTCTGTTCTTTGTTTGCTGTGTGATGTTAGACAAATCACTTCATGTTTCTGAGCCTCAGTTTCTTCACTTCTAAAATGGAAATAATAATACTTGCCCTACCTA